GATGTTTTGGAGCGTTCATTTCCAGGAAGATGCCAGCAGTTCGGTTTGATGTGTCCACTCTTTCCACAGTGCCAACACTTCTTCTTACTTTTTCCACGATGACCCTCGATGTTGCTTCTTTCTCGGTAATGATCATTCGTTCGGCTTACTTGTTTTGGATTACTCTTCTGACTTTTTACTAAGAAAGCATTTTCTGCGACTTCTTGACTTGAAATGCGATTTTCTTCGATAATCAACCGAGCCGTTAAATTCTCTAACGTCTTTTGATCTGAGGCAGCTGAGTCCCAAGCCGATCTGAAGTGGTTGTAGTTTTGAGGAAGAGTCATCAAGATTTTTGTAGTCATCATTCCATCAGAAATTTCTTCTTTCAATGCTCGTAATGTGTGACACAAGTCCTCAATTTTTGATATGTGTGTGGCGATATCATCATTTGGATCCTTGGTCAACCCAAACCATTTCTGTTGAAGCACGTGTACACTTGTGTCCGATTTGCTCTCATATATCGCATGGAGCTTGTCCCACATCTCTTTTGAATTTTCACACGTCATGATATGCATCATAGGCTGCTTTTCGAGTGAAGTCACAATAAATTTTTGAGCGATGCCATCCTTTTTCATAAATAGTTTCAAACTTTTCTGATAATCTGCCACTGCGGCAGCCGCTGCACCTTCAGCTAGAGCGTCCGGCTTGGTCTCGGTTCCGTTCACAACTTCGAACACTTCATGAGATAATAATAACACGCGAATTTGGAACTTCCACACACTCCAATTTTCAATGTTCTTAAGTTTCGTGATTTTCACTAAATCCGTTTCCATCTTTCTTTACGTTTCTTTAATTTTGTTCAACGTTTCTCTTTTCGCACTAATCGCACTACGGCAGGCTGAGAAAAATTTCAACACTTTTCACTTTAATAAATTGGAGCCTGGGCCCATAACCTATTGAATAATTGTGAATATAATAGCAGGCTTCAGTGAATAAACTTTATTAAAGAAAGTGTACAGTGGTATATGAATTGTGAGGACGAGACTTTAAGCGTTGAAGACGTTAAGCGTCATCTCAGATGAATTGCCCAAGCGAGAGTGTTGGGACCCACCGCGCGCATTAGAGAGCAAGGTACAAAGAGAGCAATAGATGGCGTTGCGATTAGAAGTATAACTGCGGTTTTCAAATATATTCTTAACAGTTCTGAATTTAACAGTAACTGTATTTATTTGTTTTATTGTAGCGTGATTGTTTCTAACACCGAATTGATGATCAGGTATTATGTTCTATTCTAGCTATACTTTATTTAGTCTTTTAATTATTATTTTTTCACAGATTTTTGAGAGAGTTGGCTAAGTGGTCTGTATGACAAAACAAACTCGGATAGTTTACCTGGTTTCGAAATAAATATAATTGTTGCAACATTCTGTACAGCAAGACAATAATTTAGTTGTAATGTATCTTTTCGCTTATGTTACCGTGTCCAGGGCTCTTTGTATTTTATAAGTTAGCGATTTTATCATTTATTTCTTTTACTTTTATATTGCTAAATGGGTAATTTTTACCGTTGTTTATTTGCGTGTATTATGAAGGGTATTATATACGCTCGCCAGTAGTTTAAGAAAAATGGTAGCTTTGCCAATTTTTTTAGTTGCTTTCCAAAGTAAATAGTCAGAAGTCTCGGTAACAGTCAAGATTTTTTAATAGTTATTTATGCTAGCATTTTTTTTTTCATAAATAATTTTTTTTAATTTCTTTAATTGATTGATTGTACGTTGTTTTGTCTGATTGTAATTTACTTTATTGTTCTATTTTTCTTAATTTTCCTTTTTTCTTTTAATTTGCCTGAGAGTGTTTTAGAGATTAGTAGTCATTATTATTTAGATTTTTTATGGCCTTCTACGTTTTGTTGAGTTTCAAGTGATATGTTACAGTTTAGTATGTTGTTTAGTACTTCTTTATACGTGTCCTAGTTTGTTTTTTTATTATTATTTTTTTTTTTTTTTTTTTTAACGACGCTCTATTTTTGCTCCATCAGTGCTAATCAGCGATGGAGGCTTGCAATGTGTTTGAGAACAAAGCACATGAAACTTTTTTCAGTGGTGCTTGTGTCAATCAGCAGTGACTGGAAATCGAACCCGGACCTACCGGGTGCGAGATCGTCGCCCTACCGATCGAGCCATTGCAGGCCTCATGTTCTTTTATTATATAGGCTGCTATTTTTTTATTACATTTCATTATTGGGTCAAAATTTATTACGACAGAGAAATGGTCTGAGGATAAATCGAGGCATGAGTTGGCCGTTAGACGTTTAGTACATAACCCTTGAATAATTACAGTCTATTAAATAAGGTAATATCAGACGGCCAACACGTGGGTTCGCCAGTTCACATTGGTGTCAAATTTTTTGTTTGCTTTACTGTGTACAGATATACTTCTTTTGGATTTGGAATAACATTGCCATTGATCCCCACCATGAGTGCTTTGCATTGTAGTCGCTTCCTTCTAAGAAGCGATTTCCCAGACTGTCAAAGTATTTTGTATGCTGTTCTCTGATGATAGGATGCCTCAGAGGGAAGTTTGTGGTGCAGAAGATAATTTCACTACTTTTATTTTCAATTGTTACATTTGTTGCTTATAGATAATCATACTTATGTGCTTCAATTTTGTAATTGTTGATGGAGCATTTGATTATGCATAATTGACGTTCCTCCATGTGCTTTGCCGTCAGGATAATTTGTGTTATACATAGATATGAAATTTTCATGAAGCTATGTGTGAAGTTTCGGATATTGGCATTAAGTCAATGTTATTTTCTATAAAAAATGGTTTTAATTCAAGGCTTCTTTGCGCTAAACCATTAGCAGTCGAAATTGCTATTTTTATTTCAGTGTTCATTTGATCTTATCTATAAACATGGTGAGCTGCAGATTGAGCATTGTATCATTTTGCATTGATCAGCTGAGTCAACATGTTTCCTGACTGTTATTTTCTACTATTGTCTGTTGAGTCTGTATTTATTTGGGTTTTTACGGTTTCTTATGCATTGCAATTTGCTACCTGTGCGTACGTAATGTTTTTTAACCAATTGTTTCGTTAATTGCTTCTTCCGAATTATTTGTAACTGGTGTCGTCTGTCCTGGGTATATGATAGCAGCCACGTGGGCAGGTTTTATTATTGTAATTACTTGTATATAAATGCTGTTATTTGTTTAATTTACACTATTTTAGAAAATTTTGTACTACATAAATGCTAGAAAGTCGTTCGAATTTTGGACAGCGTTTATAGTCATACATTCGCAATCCGTCCGTAGAATTTTAAACATATGCTTCGTTTAGATATTTCTTTATTCCTTCATTTATATTTTATACAAAGTGATATAAGCTAATCATTTTCAAATCAAATTTTTAGATAAATGCTATTTTATATTTTCTGTTCAACCAGAAAAGCATTATATTAAATAAACACGTGTAGAAATGGTGTTTGTATGAAATGAAGCCGACCATCAACAATTGAAAATAAATGCTACTCAATGTTGAACATTTTTTCAAAAATAGTATATTAGCGCCGGCAGATGTGGTATATGTACGTGCGTGTGCCTAGTATGCTGACGAGCTGTGTGTGCGTTTGCATTAATCAAATTGATTAATCAATTGACTGAAAAATATCCCGCACTTGCATAACATTACAATTAAGAGAAATTTTACATAAGTTGAATGTGCCAAACAATTACCATATATTTCTAGAACTGCCACTGGCAGAAGGCTATTTGCCGAAAATACTATTCGAATGACGGTGTAGATTATATGATATTAAAAATAAAGCAGGCTCCTAATGAACGTGAATCTTATCTTTATCACTCGTAAATGTGTAAGTTCAAACGATATATTCATAAAGTCGTACGAAATTGTAAAGCTTAAATGTTTTTGCCTATTTCAAAAAGGAGGAAGTTTTACGACCTGAAGTTTTTTTTATGAATGTCGCGCATATTTCTAGAACAAATCAGCCGGTTTCAATGTAACTAGGCTTTTTTTTGAAAGTGTATGTTCTTGGAATAATCCTATTTCATTTTTTAAATGTTATTCAACATTTCACAACAAATGTAACATTACTTGAACAAATCATTAAAAAGGTAATTTTTCTTTTGTTTTAAGAATTGTAGTTTTTATATATACGTATGCGAGCACACTCATACACACACACACACACACATGAATACACAAATTGATTTTTGAGGTACCTACATTATTATTAACAATAGCGAGCTACGATGAATATATGAATAGTTCCATTATCCATCTTGTACTATCTAATAGAGTAAGAAAAATTTAAGTCTGATTTTTTAAAATGATATATTAGAATTGTATTACCATTGAGCTTTAATTTATAAACGCTAGCCACTTTATCAATTTTATAGGTAAATTCTATAAAACTATAATATAGAGTATTATAATGGTAAGTTCTATACAGTTATAGTATGGAGATTCTAGAGAATCACCGTAACGCATCAATTCATAATTATAATGGGGTTCGTGATTGAAAAGTTACGAAAATTGTTCGTAAAACTATTCCAAATTTAGTCCATTAAACAGGACTACAGTCATATGTTTCAAAAGTTTTAGTAGTTTATGATGAAAAAGCAAAAAGAGCTTATCACTTGTAAAGTGCTACATGGTCATGGTCCAAAAAGCTTCCAGCTGATCAATTTAACAAAAAAGAAAAAGGGCAGCCCTTGACAGGCACGCTCCAGTAAACCGCTAAGTGGAGACGAGTCAGTGTCAATGTGGAACAAGAGCGCAGAGTAAGTTGAACCCACCTTTAACATACATAAAATAAAACACGGGCGAATAGTGAGAGAGAGAGCGAGAGAGAGAGAGAGAGAGAGAGAGAGAGAGAGAGAGAGAGAGAGAAGGTGCGCGTTTGACCGAGAAGGACGGAGAACGACAAAGAGGGAGCGAGTAGTAGCGAGCAGAGCCGTGGCCCTCTCTCTGTCTGACAGTTCAGCGCTCGCCGCAGCCGCTACCGCCGCCGAGGAGCAGCGTAGCCAATTGTCAGTGTTTCTCTCTTTCTCTCTCTCTCTCTCACTCTGACGCTGCTCCGTTTGTTTGTAAACTATCGGAGTTGTAGCTCTTCCTTTGTGCCTGACCATCCACATACTGCACCAGAGCTGCGTTGCTCTTTCTCCTACGGTGAATCGAGTCGGCCGTGTGCTAAAACTACCTGCTGACGCAGACAGGTTAGAAATTACTCCTCCCTTTTGTCTACTAGAAGCGTCCCTACTGTAGCTGACGCTAGCACATTTTATATTTTAATTTTTGTACTCTCGGTCGAGAGTCATTGACAAATTGAAACAGTAGGCCGAAATAAAAGTTTTTAGACCGACCTAGAGATGGGTTGTGCTCGGGCGCACTCTCTGTCTCTCTCTCTCGTGGGGTTGAAGGAACGCAAATCGATCGACAACACTAGCGGTGGGTCGCGAGATTTTACCCAGGCAAAGAACGCACTTCAGGTCTTACAATTTCCAAGCTCGAAGAACATAAGGTCTATTCACCGTCTCTCTCAGCTGAGCTGAGCTTGCTTTCGGTTCTACTTTACCAACTGATTCGTTTAACTATAGGAGTATGTAAATGAAAGTCATTTGATATTTAGACGACCGACTTATAATTTAAAGTGATATTTATTTGATTTTTGCCCCGAAAACAATAATCCAAAAATATGTAATGAAACTTAATTTCCAGAATGCGAAGTGGTCTATGATATCAAGGGATTTCTATCAATAATATATCAGTTTAGAATCTCCACGTGTTTTATAAATAAATAATTTTTCAACCAAAATGTTTACGAAATTGAATTAAAAAAAATTGTCACACGTGCCTATCTCTATCTCTCTCTCTATTTGATGACAACTGCTACGCGTCGAAGCTGCCTCTTCTGTCTCGCCTGATTAAATGCACCGATTTTTCTTGGGCATTGTTCCTTCGGTTTCTTTTTCTTGCTTCTCTGCCTCGTTTTCTTATGCCGTAGGTTAACGTATTCGCGTTACGAGCGCGGAAATGATCGGATATGCAGTCTTTTCGTTCGTTATTGAGATTTTTTTCTATTTCGCGCTTTGCGCATGACTAGTTTTACCGAGCTACTGAGTAACTCAAACTGTGTGTCTTCTATCGTATTATATATTTTGAACGATGAAAACTTATATAACGCAATGAAAAAGAAACTTAGAATGTCGAACTGGAAATGTGCACTTAGAAAATTTCAAAGTTTATATTATAGATAAGTGTCGTCGCTTGGTGCCAATTGATTCATTTTTCGCAGGGTTATATTCGTATGTCAAAATATTGCTATTATAGCTATATAAATCATCGTGTGAAGCGCCTGTGCAACGAAACGAGAAAAGCCCACCGACTCTTTTTTTTATATGTATATTTAAAACGAATTAGCCTGGAGCTTGGCTCACGTGTACTATGTAATCTATAAGGAAAGCCCGCGCACTTCATAAAGACGATTATTAATCTTGGCGGCATCGTCGAAGCAGTATCGCGTAATATACTTTCAGGATAATTGATTTATTTTTGTATGGAGCTTGTACACCATCACGGTAACCGAATAAAACGATATCAAATGAAAATCGGCGCCTGGCATACGTTATACTATTATTGGATTCCAATGAAATATTCAATAATAGCCGAATGCGTCCTTGAAAGTCAAACAGTTATTCAATATCCCGCCGACATGGCTGGCCTGTCATAGGTATACGTCGCATCGGAGGATTCCATAGTTGAAAGTTACACGCACCCAAATCTCACGTACAGCCTCGTTCCTGATACTTACGAGTTGAAGTGAAACGCGTTCGCGTGCGCCACGTACGGCGAACTCACCGAGTGCTCGTTTCCGTCAAAACCCTACAATTTATCCCCGTGATGCTCCGCGTGACATCGCGTCGAGTCCAAGACAATAGTTCCCTTTTTCTCCTCGTTCCCGAACTGCTGCGTTCCCGTTCGAAAAGAAAATAAAATGAAATAAAAAGGACAGGACCGCGCGAGCCGTGCGCTTTGTAGGAATTTTTTCCCCTTGTAAAAAAGTGATGGATGCGATGTTGAAGCATTTTATTCGTGATCTAATTGGCTGAGATATAATCACGTGATATTTTGTTACGACAGCAAATATGCATGTCGATGTCACTTCGAGTTGTGATTTTAGTAATAAAAATTCATTTTATCATAATTGATACGAATAATTTTGAAGATAATGAAAATAAAAAGAGTATGCTGCATTGTTATTATTTTTACACTGATTTTATAAAACTAGCAGCAAGTAAATCGTTTGGTAAAAGCGAGAGGTTATTATGCTTTGGAATTATTCTGGTAATCTGATATTTGAACGTGTAAGATTGAAAAAAATTTATAATATTGTAATATATATTGTGACAAAAATTGAAAAATCCACCTTTGGAAAAAGGGATTTATTACGTCAAATATGTTAATCGATGTGATAAGAAATAAAAAAGTAGATGGAAGCGCGTCCGATGTCGCTAGTGACCTGAAAAGAAAGTAGAAAGATTTCAGTTGCAATGGGAAGGGAAGGTGTGCGCGTACGCGTAAGCTTGCTCGAGTATAACGACGTATATTAAAAGTTCAAAATGAACTTTGCAATGGGGTAGTTGTTCGATCGTTAATGCAGCGTGGTAAATGATATAAATTTCAATAAACGTAATCGATTCAACTATTCTTTGTAAATGCAAAAACCGCTACTTCTCATTCGTTTTCCGTTTTCTTAGAAAGTTATTGACGATCTAACTTGAATCTTTATTAACTGTAACTCTTGTCACGAGCGAATTAGCGAGCGATTGAAATGAGCAGCCATCACAAGCACCAAGTTACAACTGTTACTCGTCATTGTTCCGCCTGCAAAAAAATGCTCTACTCCTTTTTAAATGAATTCCATAAAGAATAATAAAATATTTTATAAGTATCTGTATACTAACTTTTTCATCAATCATTGTAAATTTCCATTGATGTCGACGCCAACGACACCTGAATAGCGTGCATGTTACGTACGTTCATGCATTTTTGGTGCTTCTTACGTGCTGATTGAAAGAATGTACCTTTGTAGGTAGACTTGGATGCTTACATACTACTAATTAATCAGAACTTATAAACTAAAATTAATTATTTTATACATTATTAATAATATAACATTTTACACATTTTCTCTATTAATTTTAAAAAATTATTCAACAAAAAGTTATCAACAAATTACGAAATGATTACATTTTGAATATTATAATAATATTAGTGAAATGCCGAAAAAGTAGTTGCTGCAGACTTTTGTAATGATTACTATATATCTCAAGTGAGAAGAAACAGTTTCAAAAGCCCAAACAAAGAAAAAATATTTTTAACACTTGTATAAGTACTGAAAGTATATCCTAATTAGAAATTTCATATAAGACGACAAGTATGAACTGTACGGAGACGTGACTTTCCGTCTCAGATAAACAAAAAGTTTTAAACAAAAAAGTAATTACAATTATTACTTAGGAAAGTTGTGTAATATAAAGTCAATTAGTAAACGTGACAATAAATTATTGATTTTCTGGCATGAATGTAACTAATTGTAAGTATCCATCTGTTCACCTAGAACAGCCATTCTAGATAGATAGCTTTCGACGATTACCGATAGTTTAATTATTATTCGCCATTAGTTAAGTATAAAGTTAATTGAAGCAATGTTTTGGATTTCCACATGAGTTTTTAATAGACAAAACTCTTCATTTTCTTTTTCGATATTCAAAATTATTCAAGCGCAGTAACACAAACTTGATTCAATTCTAAAATCGTATATGTATCTTACAAGTTTTGATATAGTAGCAAAGAAACAGATTATTTTTGTCGTTATTTTACGACACTTTACCGAACAAATTTACACAAGCGAAAGCATTGTACTTGCATGTCAACAGTGTTGACGTGCGTCCGTTAATTCTAAGTTATACAACGTTTCATAGGAAATTGAATTATTGCGAGCAGAATAATACATCCGATGAGCTTTTATAGTACATTCGTATAATTAAACATATAAACGCACGTTTAAAATATGTGAGTAAAAAAGAAAAATAGAAATAATATATGTTCAATAACCTATAAAGATAAACGGACTATCGTCAAAAATATTTCTAGTCATAACGCATAAGTACGAACTTGCATAAGATTACTATTTCATAATTGTAGTTTGTCGCGTTGGACAAAGTGATATATCTTGAGAGATTCTATGGTCAAATTTTATTATATGAACAGAAAAGGTTGTCACGTTAAGAAATACATTTCAAATACACCCGATTTTTTATTGAAAATGGTTTTGCGAAAGTACAGGGACGTTCTACAGCTATACATGCTTAGAAAAAACTTGATTTGCCGAAATGCTAAGTGCTTTTCAACCGAACACGTTATCTGATTCAAGACCTTAATTTTTCGAGAAAAAAAACTATTCCAGAGAGCTTGGAGAAATAAAATAAGAAGCAATAAGTGGTGGCTAATGGCCATCGGATCTTAAAAGATCGTTGAAATTATCCACTTGGTTATCTTAATTTAGCTACGTTATTACCATCTGAAAATTAGCTATCAGGAAGGTTTTACCACTTATCACAGATTATCGTAATGCTGATAAGAGTCTTAGGCAAATAGTCTCGTTGCAGATGTAAGAATATTTCTATTTCAATGAAATCTCTTTGACATAATTTGTAAAAGGTTCAACTTTTCTTAATATGAGTTTTTCCGGGATTAGATAGCATTTCTATAAGAGAAAACTGCTGAGGTTACTACTCATAAACTGAGCAAAGTATCGTTATATCAAGAATAATGTCGTTAATATTAGCAACAATCCCAGAAACTAAGAACTTGCGTACAAGACTAGGGAACGTTCATAAAGCACGTAGCTCGTTCTGGGGGGCAGAGGGGGCGGAGAAACACCACGATAAACTACGTAGGGGGACAAGGGGTTTAGTCTGAAGTACGTGGTTTTGTATCGATACTATCTATATTAGTTTTGTTTAGTTTTAAAAGAAAAGTCCGCGAAAGATTTATATATTCCCAAGCAGAAATACATTTAAACATGCAAGTCTGAAAGAAAGAAAGAGAGAGAGAGAGAGACTACAAGCTAGCAAGTTAAGACAAACGGCGAGTTTATTTATCTGGTATTTTTGAGGTGATACTGGAAAACATGCGACGCACTTCATCTGTTACTATTGCATATGCCTGCATGACTAGTCTCACTTTTTATTCAATCTGATGGCTTGGATTGAAGCGAAAATATTGTTTTAATAAATAGTTTCTTTTATTTATTTAATCCGTAGATTTTTATTATATGATTAACCGCGTGCTTCATAGGGGGGGGGGGGCTAAAAGCTACAGAAAGCTACGTGAAGGGGGGGGTTAATAATTGATCAAAATCTGGCTACGTTGTTTATGAACATTCCCCTATGTGGAAGCAAATTTGCTGCTAAATAATCGAAACACAACAGCACGCAATGAGAGTGAAGAACTGCAAGCGCGCAACATAAATTACACATGGATATCGACAAATGATCAAACAAATTGTTACGGCAATGAAAATAAATTAGTAATTTTTATTGGAATTCATAGTGAAATCGTTCACGATCTATCACGCGCCTTCGCAAAGCATATCGGTGACGATCAAAAATTCAAAGTAGTTAAAGGGAAATTATATTTTGGAGCGAGTATCTTCCAAATTTTTCGCTGTAATTTATCAGAGTAAATGACTCTTTTTTAACTGCGTGGCAACTTTCATACAGTTTTCAAATACCTTGCAGAAGAAAATGTATATTTGCGAATGTACTGTTATAGCATTGGAACAGTCAAACTACTAATAAGAATTACAGAAGAAAACGCTTCACTAACCACCGACCAATTAGGAAAAATTTAAAGAAATCTTACTAGTTGGCCAGTAGGCTTAATATTGTTGAATCTATGATTCTGTCAACAGGCGAGTTCAGTAGTTTCTGCTAAATCTTAAGAGACGTAAAAAATATCGTTCCTTTCGAATCTTCAATAGTGTTTGCAATTTTTTCCGCATGGAGATATCGGTATACGAAAAGGTTCGAGGACCCAACAAGCTATATACAGTAGATAATCGAGAGACAAAGATCATTTCTAAATATTACACATGCACCCAATCAAAGAAAAGAGTCGCCAGTCTGACGCGTCAATGCAAGCCCACAACAAACGACGGTGTTTTTGACTTGCAAGCTGCCCAAAGCCACCAAAGCCATTGACAAAATAATTCAATTGATAAAACGAACATAAATATTGTACAATACTTACACGAAAATCGTAATTTTTTTGGATATTTTACTATTTTGCATTGCTTGAGCATCACTTTAAAACTTTCATTACCGCTTGTAAAATGTGAGTTTTTAATATTATTTCTCATATTCATAGCATCGACGAGTGTGTACACGATTTATACGATTACATATAATAAACAGCGTTGTAATAACAACGTAGAAAACAACGTGTATGAACAATTTCATTTGTCACATTAAGTAACTAGATTTCCATGAAAACAGATTCAATTTATTTTTTAAAATTTAATTTTCTTTTCCATCTATCGCTACTGTTTCTCACAATATTTCAGCTATATAATTATTCAGCTATAATTATAGCGCCTATATACACTAATTGACATCTTCGACCAAGGCATGAATAATACAATTTATTTGTATAGAAAATTGTAAAAAAAAAACGGTTGTTCAACAGATAAATAGTATCAACCTAAATAACAATTTCGAAAGAGCAATTTTTCTTTATAATTGTATAAGTACAAGTACATCACAAATCTGCTGATTGTGTTTATTGAAATTAAAAATTTTCATTGATACAATTACGTAAACATTTGGGAAGAAAAATTATTTATTTATAAAACATGTGGAGATTGCAAACTGATATATTATTTAAATAAAAAGAAAATACTATTATAAGTAAATAAAAAATTCAATGCAAAAGTCAAATAAATATCAATCTTTATTATAATTCGGTACAAATATCAAGTAAATGTCATTTATATATATACCCCAGCTATAGTTGAGCGAACCAGTTGGTAAAGTAGAACCGAAAGACAAGCTTAGCTGAGAAAGACAATGAATAGACCTTATGTTCGTCGGGCTTGGAAAATGTAAGACCTGAAGTGCGTCCTTTGCCTGGGTGAAATCTCGCGATCCACCGCTAGACAACATAGACCCTTGGGCTGCTGCTGCTTGCCTAATATTTTTAACCTATCGAACTACTTTTTTCTAGGCTTCTAGCTTACCAATTGTATATTTATGACTTCACATGACGACTGTGCATCATTTTTATTATACTTTTGCCCATATCGTTGTAACACTTTCGATTAACAAGTTTTTTCTTAACGTACCCTGTGACTTGTAAAGTTATGCGCTTATATACTACTTGCGCTCTTTTATAGACTTTATATCCGGATGACGAGTGAAACTTGAGAATGAGTATCAGCTTCAGTATTGTTTAAAAGTTGATATAATTATCTATGAAACCTCAGCTGTACGTACAGTTATGAAATATTAATCAGTTAACTATCAGTATGAAAAAAAAATTTTGCATTTTTTTCTAAACTTGTTTTTAGGATCTATATATATGGAATAAGCAACTTGACAGATCACTTCATTTATTCAATTTGTTCAATTTTAATTGAAATCATTTATTTATTTTATAAGATGAGCCATACAATGAATGAAAAGGAGGAATTGGTGAAGAAGTCCCTGTTTAGCTTTGTCAGGAAGCAAGTGCCAACTGCTCAATTAAGGTAAAAATGCAATGCACAATTTACAAAAAGTGTTTTTTCTTTTATAACATTAAGCTTAATGAATATTGCACTTCTTCAAGTTTGATAGATGACATTGTTTTGGGGTATGTGGTAAGCATGGTTGAAGAAAGTGCTTTAGAAGACGAATTAGATGTTGATGGTGTGAGTGAGATGGTATCAGCTTGTCTTCCTGAGTTTTCGACAATTGAAAAAGAAGCAGTGACCAAGTGGTTATTAGATATTGAAAGTGAACTTCGACAAGGCAAGAAAGGGAGCAATGACAGTGCCCAACAAAATGATCCACTCAGTTGTCTTAGTTTAGCTGCATTACTACCACCTGAACCTCAGCGGACTTCAAGGGTACATCACTTGTCAGAAACTAGTGATGCTGGTAGTGATTCTAGTGGAGAGTATTATGCAGATGTAAATATAATTTTTTTCCAACAAATCTTTTATACCATGGAATGCAATAGACTTTATATTATTTATATTGTTCTTAATAGGAGTCATCTTGGGATCAGGTAGCATTATTGCAAGAAATGTTTCCTGGAGCTAGTCCTGCAGAAGCTCGCCACTGCTTGGCTGTAGCTGGAGGTGATATAGCAAAAGCTGCTCAGCTTGCTCTTCATAGACAGGAAGCTGGGCAGAGTATCGTTAGCAATCATACTTTCTTGACAGTAAGTGAATATTTTAAGAAATCATTCATAAGATTATCTTCGCAAGCAAGTGCATATTGACAAAGATTAATTTCTTTGCAGCCAAATGGTCGAAGCAAGGCACGCGTCAATGATGAAGAGCTTAAAGCTCGTATTATAAATCGCTATAGCTATGTGGACCGTGACGACGATTCGCGCGAGCATCGCCCGGTGGCACCGAAAACGGAGCCAAAGAAGATGGTGCGTTACTTGGACAACAAAATTGTGTCGGTCAAGGGCGAACGTTTTACCGAGGTGAAGCGTGGTGGTGAGGACGAGGACGGTAACGAATCCGGGCGCAAGCCCCGTAGCCATTGTCGCCCGTAACCAGTGATGTCGCCTCCACCCCCCGATCCACCCCCCTGGAGGCGCCTTCTTCTTGCTCGCGCGCTTAATCTCGAGGTCGCGCAACTGATCTATCTGCCAGCGCTAAATTGTCGAGCGTGAAATCGAGCTTTGGACGTCAAGGTTTACCTTGGGGCGATCATATCGCCAACATTATTTATTAATATTTTTACCGTTTTTTTCACGCTTCTGTTATCTTTTGTTTAACGACTGATATAATGGCATTGTTTTAAAGACTTTTATCTCGCTATAGTTATATCTTTCCAATGATAATGATCGTTGGAAAAACTCCAAAGAGGTGAAACTTTGGATTTTGAAATATTCGTAGGTCATTCGAAATTGAGGACATTTAGAAAAATTGTAGTGATTTGAATGACAGAAAACTGAGAAGAGTAGGGATATTTTGCAGAACGATCGTATATATTTTATATCTTTTTACTTTATAGTACAATCATTATAAATAAGCTTTTTTCCTTATCTGTGGTGATAATCTTTACCTACTTTTTAGCAACTTTATCTTTATAATTTTTATAATTTTATTTATTATAATTCATTATTATTATATATATTATGTAAGTGACTTAAATATTTTATGCATTTATGAGAGTTGCTTCGAGAGTGTTTTAAATCTGTTTCTTTGGATATAGATTATGAGTAGTTATTCTTAATTTTCTTCAGAATAATTCTTAACTTTAATACTGTGTGTTTTCAATAACTTATAAAAATAGCACTAATTCAAAAAGGCTAAATTTTGTAAATTAAATTTAATTGTGATTTTTTCAGTTTTGTTGAAGTCAAAATTATATTTTAATTAGATTGATTTTTATTAAGTTATGATAATCCGGAAGAAAAAGAGGAGTTCGGTATAAGAGGAGTGTGATAATTGTGAATAAATTGATTTTTATGGACATTTTGATTTATACAATTTTTTCCGTTGACAGTGTTATGTATAAAATGTACTTTTCCGATATTAACTTTGACGTCCAAAGCTTAATAGGTGTAAATACGAGAACGTAGCGATTTATGATTTCGCTCCAGCGTATAATGGCCACAACGGTCGTTAGGTCGATTATGTACTCGTGTTTTTTCAACTTTTTTTTGTAATTCATCATCGATGACAATAATGCTTGATCTTAGAGTCATTCTTGATTTTCAAGGCTGGTACCATGGATAATGTTATTTATCTTTGCTAATTTTCCAAAATAAATGGGCTTAATATTTTAAACAATAATAATCTTTTTGTACCAATCTATCTTTGTTATTGTTTCACTTCAAATAAAATAAAGCTTAATTTGCTTGTTTGAGGCATATTCAACATGAAGATAACTAGCTTTTTCACATTTTGAAACGATCATGAAATCAGTAAAAGAAATGTTATTTTGCTACAGAAGATAAATGAGTATAAGAATAAAAAAAAATAGAAAGAAAAAACACGAGTATACAGACTTAGCCAAAAAATATTAAACACGCGTCTTACCCGAATTGGGTATGTTCGTATTATGTGTATTTGAAGCTTGAATATATGTTGTACATAAAACGACATAGAGGAAAAGCGATTTTAGTAAATGACACTTCGCATCGAAGTAGCAACGACGTATATGCAATGAAAGTTTGATAAGAGATAAGCGCGCGCACTTGATGAAGACGATAACAAATATGATACCAGCCAATAAAGGATTCCGGACAGGGGTGGTTTCTGGATAAATGGGAAATTGAAAAGATATGGTAACAATGAAACGTACATACTCAAAACGATAAAAAATCGTTATTGTTATTTTGATATCATTTCTCAAAATTCGATGATACAATTTACCTGTTACCTGTGGAGTATACTTTTCTCAATTCTACCGCTTCGCCAACCAATCTCAATAAAAAGTTTTGCCGGTTGCATTTCTGACGAAAATCTATGCACTTAAATAAACGTTTGACTTATTTATTTATTTGTTAAGGTTAAAAATATACAAATTAAAAATACTACGTCTGTGATTTAATATGAATTAAATTAACAGGTAAATCACGGTGTTTTAAACAAGACTTAACAAAGAAAAAATTAATTTGTAACCTTAAAGAGTCAATCGATCGACCGAATTTTACATACAATCGAAAGATTTACAAAAAGACTTGAATTTATTAAATTCATAAATTGTACACGATTGTTGGATATACAGCAGTCTTGTTCTCGTAATTTTTTAAGTTAGTAAATAAAGCGTGTCATGTTAAGCGCTGCGCTCTCTTGCAAAGCAGACGTTAAGTCAAATTTAGTTTTAAATGTAAGATAATTTTTTATTTGATTTATATGTGCACTTGTGCATTGAATGAAAAAAATTACACAATATAAAAAACTTGAAAAAAAAAGAAACCTTGTTATAATGAAGGTACGCTTATTAAAACTAGTGACTTTGCTGCTGGCAGACGAGATTTTGATCCGTTTTGCAAATAAATCAAACTTGCTAAGTGAAATACCTTTTTAAAGAATATTAGTGATAAACTACAGAAAATTTGTAATCTTAGCAGGGCTTTTCAGTTGATAACGAATCTATTTATAAAAAAATCGTGTTCAAAAATTTTTAAAGTTGCCTACTTGCATATCAGTTTTTTAGATGAAAATTCAGGAACCTTTTTAAAATGAATGTATATTTTATATTATTTTTTATTAATTTACTTAATGTATTTGAATTTACGATTTATTAATATTTATTATACATAAGCAAAGAAGTCACATTCATACTGTATTGTGCATCAATTTAATGCATTGTTGATTTTTTAATAGCTCCACAGTGAAAGATTAAAAAAAATATTTCTTCAAAGCCAAAAAATCTACAAACAACATTTTTGAAATGCGACTATGTAAAAGCACTATAATTACATACTTATATCTGGTTTCTGATCTAGCGCTTCATAATACAAGCGTTTACAAATATGCCATATAATTTATCAGTATTACTATTGATGTACCTTTATCAATACATTGCAAAATTAAGAATAATAAAGCATACTATAAACATGGTTCATGTGAATCATAACATAGTCACTGATAGGTTTTTAAGTGGTAGACAATTTGTGTTGTAGGCGTGCGGTCATGTATATCATTTAATGTTTAATTTTTTGCTTTTTAAGTATCAATTATAAGTGACAAATTGAAGCAATATAAATGGTACATTTTTCGTGGAAGGACATCAATTTTGACAATACTTACAAATATGTAAAAGAAAATGTACGTAACTTTTCAATGTAACATCTATATTGGAAATCGTTATTACAAAAATAAAAATAATTAATTTTGCCTTAGTTTCCACAGATCTTGTCGACTGCTTAATTAAAAATCTCATGTGTAGTAGATTTTCATCAAACCAATTACTATGTAGTCTATAAGAATCAATAGTAATAACTATCTCGGCAAGTACGAAATTTCTCAAGACATTAAGTAAAATTAACGCTTTTCAAATCAAACTATCATCATAAAATGATTTTCAATATTGTTGGTTAGGGTAATTCTAAATTCGTTATTACTATTTTTCATAGATCATCTTTGAAATGTCTGCAGTAATAAATAGGTATGTGTATATCATTAAATTAATTCACTAATCCTTTAAGGTGAGTTTAAAATCAACAATAATAGCGATGATTTCTTACATTCATTGCGTTAAGTGCTTTTTTCACATTGTTTTTAATTTTTTTGGAAAAAAAACTTATAGCACATGTACTATAATTTTCACAATTAAATCATGATTTTAATCAAATGTCACGTCACAATAAAAATATAATTCATCAAAAATTTGTATTATTTTCTAATTATTATAAATAGTTAAATATTACAATTCCTGCAATTCAATCTCGCGTAATCCATCATCGAATCAAATATATTTAAACATTGAAACAATAGACCTAAATATTCTTCAATCGTTCAATATGAAAGACGTATAATAGTACCTTTTAAAATCTTTTCAATTTCGCTAGCCAATGTGCTGTGAAAATTATCTACTAAAACATAGATAAAATTATCATGCAACACACGCCATGTGAATTTTGTAAATTTTATAAATGAAATCTACTTATTTTTTAATTTTTGAACAAAAATAGAAATATCCTCCTTTTTTATTGAAACAGAAGAACAAAATACTGAATCAAATCGAAATATATGAAAAAGCAAATACAAATATACTTCAATTTACACTTTTAGTTGAACAAATTTGTGTATATAAAATTCATTTATATTTGAATTTTTCATAAGTGAACTAAGTGAAAGGGTCTAGACCAGATAAGATAGAGACATTTGCTTTGAGTTATTTGAAAGTCACATTGTTTGGTATGTTTAAAACCCCTTATTTCTAGATTCTTAAATCCTAAAATCTACTAAAGGCTCTAGAGGATCCAATTTAGTGATTTTTTGACAATATCTCAATCAATTTTAAAGCTAGACATTTTTTTTTCTTCAGATTGTAGAGTTGTTCAATCGCTAAGGCTATAAAACCAGTCAGAAAATTTATTGGCTTCAAATTTTCAAAAACGTTCGAAAATTTCAAAACTTGAGATTTTAAAAACAGACTGGTTCATCTGTGGAAAAAATATATTTTATGTATTTCTAGTGGAAAAAAATGTCCTGAATTTGTTCAGATTTTAAGAGTGATGAAACGCCCTTGAAAATAATAAAAACCACTGGAAAACCCGGATTTTTTGCTTCTAACTCCCTCTAGATGGATTTTGTGATAGAACCATTAGTACTATATCGTGTTGTCTGGAAAAAAATTCAGAAACATTTTTCCACCAGAAATATATAAAATATATTATTTCCAGGGATGAGTCGGTTTTCGTTTTTGAAATACCGTATTTTTGAATTTTCAAACGTTTCTGAAAATTTATATTTAGCGTCAAAAAATTTTTCTGGTTAATTAAGCTTTGTAACGATTTAAAATCTGGAATCTAAAAAAAACAATAAATCGCTAAATTGGGTCCTGTAGGACCCCTAGTAGATTGTGAGGTCTATAAATTTTAAATAAGGGTTTCTAAACCGCCAAACATAATGGACATAACACTTTTCTGGATAATTCAAAGCAGATTTCACTATTTTATCCAGCTAAACCCTTTTGGTATCAATATACTTATTACATGGAACAAACAGAAAACTATATGAATATAGTGCAATTTTATTTTATTTAATATTATATCTTCTTACACAAATTATATGAGTACATTAAATAATAATAATATAAGATTAAACTTTAAGAAATATGAAATGTCAATGAATTGGAAAGTTATCGGCAATTAATTGCTTTTATGTCATCACAACTTTTTAACTGACACTGTCACACATTCGACTATCTTAATTGTAGTTCATTTAACATACACTAAAGTATCTACTGCTATTAGAAAGATGGAACAGATCTAGGTACACATTTAGCAAAATTGACATTTCGTATTTATTCGTAGTACGCTTTAAAATAACCCACAAAGTTAGTGACTTTTTATTTTGCTGTAAAAGTAGTCATCAATATTTACTGGATTTCTTATAAATAAATATTCTTACACATCAAGTAGAAAAATAGCGAAGACAAATTCTGCAAGCAATACAAAACCGTATGAAATCGCGATACTAGCAATCGAAGAAATGGTTATAAATTTAGATTGTTATCTAATTATACGTAGCAAATTATTGGATTTTCAACATAAAATACATAAATCTACGTTAAACGTGAAATGTATACTTTAGCACAATTCATAAATAATCGTAAATCGTCCAATTTAAAAAGCTAAAAAAATCCGTACCTAGATCCGCGTAGCAAATACACATTCATTGTGTTCCATAAAATCATTCATTCAATTATTTATTAATATTAATCGGTAAATCATCAGTCAGCTTAATTTATCATTTACTTCTTCTTTTTCCTAGGTTGGGGAGCTGGCAGATTTTCAACTTTGCGCTTAGAACTAGGTTTCGCTCCTGCATTACCGCCACCTTTTTTCTTTCTCTCTTGTCTTTCGCGTTCCTCAAGTTCCTGATTCTCCCTCTCGATCAATGTGATTAATGTATTACATCTGCGTTGTAATTCCAAAGCTGTACGCGATTTGACGAACCAGTCGAATCGAAACTGTGGTGCAGATCTTACAGTAGCTCGAAGCTCTTCATAGACGTTCTCTTTGTCAAAGCCTAGTTAACGAAAACAGCATTATGTTAGTTTCTTGTGTTAGTGGTTAATTGTATATAATTCATAAATTGAATCATAACTTACCTAATTTGTGTAACATGCACACCAGGAATCGGTCCTCTTCCTCGGTGTAATTCTTGCCCTTGTTTGTTCCGTAAGCTATCCGTAATTGATGGAACGGAGCTCGATATCTAGCCATCTTAGCATCTAAAGCTTTTTTGATACCAGCACGACGCTGAATTTTAGCCTCGCCTCGTTCTATTTGTGCCATCACACGGTCGATATCTTGAAGCTCGTGACAGCGTTCCCAAAAGACAGCCGAGTATTCCATAACTTCCTCGGGAGTTTTACCTTCAACTTCTTTAGCGATATTTTCAATATCATCTCTGCCGTATTTTTCATTAGCTTTGATGAACTGATTAAAGTCACGCTTAGTCCAATTGGTAAAACCCTGCGTGAGTAACTTTTCTTTTTCTGCCATTTCTTCATCAGTCAAAGGCTGTGCTTCATCGATTTTACGCTGTTCTTCTTTTTGCATCTTTGCCGCATCCGAGCCTAAGAACAAATTGAATATTAGTTTACAACTGCAAAAGCATTATCAACAACAATGAACTAGAAGAAACAGTATTCTACTTGTGTTTACCTAACTCTGGATTTTTGGGAACTTTATACCCGACAGTCTGTCTAAAGTAGTAAATCTCCTGATCAAGGAGCTCAAAAAGTCTAGGAGGAAAGAATTGGAAGTCTTGAACAATCGGCTGCTTAGGCGGCCTAGGAGCTTTAGGTGCTTTCGGCTCAGAAACACGAAGAGCCTCGCGGAAATAGGCATCAACTGCATAGTTAGCTTTGCGTTCACGCTTTGGCGGCTCAATCCAGTTGCCAATACCTAATAACTTTTGCTTTTCTCTGTAATCTTGTCCTTCGAACTGATACACTGAATCCGTGGGGGCATCGACGGTAAAATTACGTAAAGTAGATTCACCGAGGCTTTCGAGTTTCGCGTTAAGCTTCTCGGTCTTCTCTTCTCCTTTTTGCAAGATCGTGTCGATGTCTTCATCGGTGATAGCACTATCCTTCGAAGCGAACACTTCATTGGCACCATGACGAATGATGTTGAGCATCTCATCTTTGTTGAGAGCATTTTGCTTGGCGTCGACGAGTCTACCTTGTTGGATAACGAGTTTGTCGAGGCGTAGTTTTACTTCAGCACGCTCGACAATCTTTTCTTCAACTGTGTTTTCGTGAATAAAGCGAAAAACTCGTACCTAATTGAAGTTTACAATGTTACTCAATTGAGCAAGTTAAATAATGTAATAAAATATTAAAGTTGATCGACATACTTGTTTTTTCTGACCAATACGATGAGCACGATCCATTGCTTGCAAATCCATCTGAGGATTCCAATCTGAATCATAAATAATGACAACATCGGCAGTAGCTAAGTTAATACCCAAACCACCGGCACGAGTGGATAGCATGAAGATAAATTTTTCGCTTCCAGGTTCGTTATATTCATTGATCTGTCTTTGGCGATCCTCATGCGCTGTATTACCGTCTAAACGACAATACTTGTATTGACGCCAATGACAGTAATCCTCCAAGATATCCAGCATCCGTGTCATTTGACTGAAAATAAGTACGCGAGACTCTTGTTCCTGAAGCTTTGGCAACAGCTTATCAAGAATAACCATTTTGCCACAGTTGTATACAAGATGTTCGTCAGTTGTGAATGGAGGACCAGGTTCAGCTCCATCAAATAGATATGGATGGTTGCAACATTTGCGCAGCTGCATGAGAATATTCTGCAGACGCATCTTCTCAATTTTACCAGCGCCATTTACGATGTCGATATCTTTCATGAGCACCTTTGTATACCATTCACGCTGCATTTTACTCAGACCTGTAAAGAATAGTGATAGTGTTGAAATGAGTATTTAAATAAATATTATAATATAATAAGCAAAGACCAATGCCAAAACTTACCTACGTAAACCTTAATTTCTTTTTTGGGTTTCAAAGCTTTTTCCACTTCAGATTTCAACCTACGTAGCAAGAATGGTCGCAGTACAGCATGTAATCTTTCAATAAGAGCATTGTCACCCATAAAATTGTTAGTATTAAACCAAGAATCAAAATCTTCAGAGCTATTGAAAACATCAGGCAACAAGAAATTCAAAAGTGACCATAATTCGTGTAAATTATTCTGAAGTGGAGTACCAGTGAGCAAAAGTCTATTGGCTGTTTTGCACTCTCTTAAAATTTCGGACAATTTAGACTTTTCATTTTTCAACCGATGAGCTTCATCTACAACCATGTAGCGCCAGTTAAACTTTTTGAAAACCCATTTTTCCCTTAGAACCATTTCATAAGATGTTACACAAACATCCCATTCTCCTGGTAACATTACGTCTCTGATAAATGCATTTCTCGTTTCAGCATCACCAATTAAGAAAACTGTTCTCAATGAAGGACACCACTTTTTGAATTCATTCATCCAATTGGCTAAAGTTGTTTTTGGTACTACTACAATATGAGGTCCAGAAATATTTCTAAAATGCTTCATATAACCCAGTAATGAAATTGTTTGCAGTGTTTTACCTGTAATATCAAACATGATTTAGTTGTTATGATGTTTATACAAATTATATCAACAATATTGTTTGATCCAATTAACAAACAAATTAGCTTATAACATAAATCTTTATAATAATTATAGAAGAAAAACAAATTTATTCTTACCGAGACCCATCTCATCAGCAAGAATACCATTGATACCATTTTCATATAATGATATCATCCAGTTAAGGCCTCGAATCTGGTAATCTCTGAGTTCTCCAGACTTGATATAAGGAGGAGAACTTTCAAACCTTGTTATTGGTGCAACAACATTCGAATCAGCAGCTAACAACTCCTCATCTTCCTCTTGTTCAGTCTTGCTGTGCCTGTGATCATGAGCATCTTTCTCATCTTTGCTTGATTTGCCAGCTGCATGAAGTTTCTCTTGTGGTCCTGGTGTTTTCCTTGGTCTGCCAGGTTTCATTTTCAAGGGACTAGCTTTATCCTTAGCATTGGCAGTCATGAAATGCGAGAAGATCTCAGTTTGCTTGAGCAAGAATTCGAATCGTTTGCTGCGATCAGTTTCAAGCTTTGTCTCGAAATCGCCACCGCCTCGTGACGACGAAGTCTCCGCCGAGGAATCATTGGAGTTTTCTCCGGCATCGCTTGTATTCTCTTCTTCCTTTGACATCTTGATGCGGCTAGCCTACAAAACAGTAAGAGCGCGCTCGCTTGTTACCTTTAGGCGTTGACTTCTTTCGAGTGGCTGCTTACGACACTAAACGTATGAAGAAAATAATTAGAGTTTTACCTAAGAATGAGAGCTTTCACTTTTTTGCATAAACGAAAACTAAAAACACGATCATTTGCCGACGATGGTGAACGACGACGACGGCTTTAGTTCACGCGTTTCGGAGTGATGCGACAACGCGGATCATAGTAACCGCCATGTTGAATTTCGATAACTATCGAACTAGGTGGTGCCTTTGTTTTCTTGAATTTCTGAGTCTTTTGTGACTGCACACATATACATCATATTGCTTTGTTTATTATTGTTGCCTTATAAGATGTTACAAAAACAGACATAAGTAATTAATAAATCACAAATGATACTTGTGAAACGATCATTTTATAAACAATTTTTTAATCAAGTTAATTAATGAAAAAAATTGTAACATTTTGATTAATTGATATTAAATTGAAGTTTGTATATTTTTTTTTCTAAATAAATTCAAAATTACAATCGAATGTCGGTTTCGATTCATCGATTTCAACATGTTCACGCGCATGCGTAATTTTGAAAAGGCGCCGAAACACGTTTTTAGAGAAAATACGCGCCAACTTTTTAGAATAGTGTACTGCGGTAGTCAATATTAACACTAATTCCTACATATTTGAACTTAAGATTATGTCTCCAGCAGGTTGAAGATAGAATCATTTGAATACACATGAATGGAGAAATTTACATGAAAAATATAAAATTTGGTAAGTTTTATTATTTAAAAAAAATACATTTACACAATTCTAACACATTTATTGTGGGAATGGAGTAGCAAATATTTCTGTATCTACATGAAAGTGAGAAAAACGGGTCTTCTTTGAGTGCGAGAGAGAGCGAGAGAGAGAGAGAGAGAGAGAGAGAGAGAGAGAGAGAGAGAGAGAGAGAGAGAGAACTAAATCGTTGTGGAAAGTGTGAAAATGAACAAGAGTGGAGCGTCCACCCTCAAATTTGCGGGAGTGAGCAGCCTTTTTAGCATCTGGACCTTTTTATTTTTCAAATGAAGACGTTTTTCCTTAATCAAGTCCTCAATTGTTATGTAAAATTGAGGATTGTGCCTTGTAATATGCCAGTGGCCTTACTATTTTGCGCACTTTGATTCGTTGACCTCTTAAAATCACATGATGGATTTTGTCAATAATTTTGAGAATAGTCACTTCCATAGGGCGTCTCGAATGATGTTCAACAGTAAACAGTTAGAAACATAGGGGTAGATTTACCAAGAGCTTCATCTAATTCAGCTTTGATTTCTTTCTGTGTTAAACCTTTTACGTAGAAATGTTTTATCACTACTCGGAACTCACTTTTATTTATTGTTAACTATAAATAAACAATTAAGTTGTTCGTTTCGATCAACAATAAAAATGGAAGCACTTGATGGATCTGGCTGAAATTTTGGCTGCACACTAGATAGAAATAACATTTGCTGTCGCATCATAATATTAAGATTTTTTATTTTATTTTTTATTAATAAAAATGTTCACATTAAAGCTACAACACCACCACAGTGATCGTATCATAAGTTGTGACGCCTTAATTGCGCGCCATCTCTTGCGTTTTTAAAGGACTTATTGAACGGCCCTTGTATGACATGGCTTGTCCCTTATCGTAGAAAGAGCATTCATCGAGATAGTTTTTTAGATTAATTAGATTTGTATTAATTAGGAATAATCGTTTATTATTTTGTTCTGATAATTAAAGTGTTTAATTGTGAACTTTCACAGCCAAAACGAATTAACTATATACTTTTATAATTAACTCATTAACTCGGTTGTACAACAATTCATCTTTCATTCACGACTTTTAATTAAACATTGAAAACGCAGTAACTGTATACTATGTAATAACAATCACTTGCATTTGCGATCAATCCATCGTTTCGTTTGCTTTCAATTGACGGTAAATTTCTACTGCTGAAAAAGATCTAAAAATAATAAGATGCTATAAGTCTTAAAAAGTATGGCATCATGGATGATATTATAAAATAACCGTTAATGACCTATTCAGGGTAAATATATGGTATCCAAAACAAATATTGCTTTTCCAAATATCCTTAATTATCTTCAGACTTAAATCTATTCCAAAGCGCCGCACAGCTTCATCGTTATCTCGCAGGCTTTCCAATTGTTCCTGCATCCACGGGGGTATTTGCGCGCGGGAGAGACTGGCCATTTTTTCTAGCGACTTGATGTTTGTGAAAGGAAATATACCGGGAATGATAGGGACGCTGATCCCTAGCTCTCGGCAATCTTTTACGAATTGGATGTACATACTAGATTCGAAAAAGAACTGTGTAATGATAAAATCTGCCCCAGCATCAATCTATAAAATTTAAGCAAAGCATCGTCTATAGTAATCGCTATTTAATGGTGTGTCAAAAAATGAACCTTTTCTTTAAGGTGTAGAAGGTCTTGTTCCTTCGAAGCTGATCGAGGATGTGTTTCAGGATAGCCAGCGACGCAAATACTGAATTGCTGAGCAAAACGTTGCCGTATAAATCTTACCAAGTCCAACGCGTGCTCGAAGTGCCCTCCGTACGTTTGCCCATCTTCAATTAAACGAGCCAAAACGAAAATCAAACTCGATTAATGTCAATGGTATTATCGCCAAGTCAATCGAATTTATCGCAGCAACTCGATCTCCGCATTTCAACACTTAGTCTGAGTGCATGCAGTTGCACATTAGCCCACGACGTAAGTGCACATGCAATGATATGGAATGCAGCTCTTACCTCCTTCGAGTGCGAAGACATTAACGATACCGAGCTCGAGTGCACGGTTCAAGACCTCCTCGACTTGGTTGCAGCTCAAACCCCTCGCCGCGCAGTGTAGCAAAGTGTTGCACGGCATATTTTCTTCGGCGATTTTTAAGGACGGAAAGCGTTCGGTCCATTTCGCTGATGCGTCCACTGGCCACGTCAGCGAGTAGAATAACGGCGCGCAATGCTCCGTTTCTTTGAAAAACCTATGCACATTTCACCCCTCTAGAGTGATTAAGTTAAGGCCAACCCGATATAAAAAGCAAAGAAGCGAGCGAAGCTGCTCGCGTCAGCCATCAGTTGCGCTATTGCTTTATCGAATCGTCGATAAGGACGCGAAGTACGCGAGTCAATTTCGTAACGACGATAACAGCGATCGAGTCTGTTCACGTGATTCATTACACAAGAGTTCCAACGCACCTCTGGTAAGTGCCGGGCGCAGCGCTCGGGAACAACTCGTAGCTGCAGAAGTGTTCGCCCTGTCGTTGCTTTTCATCGATCAGCCAAGCCAAATTGACCGGCTTCCCTCGGTCCAGTACAGCTTCTTCGTGAAACTCGCTGGGATCAACGGCTTCGCCGTCCAAAACGCGATGCCTCATCAGTGCTCGAGCGACAGCAAGCTTGGACTGTGCCGCATCGGTCACGCTGCTCTGCCAATGGCACACCAAAGTGACATGGCGATGATAGAGACGCAATGATCGCGCTCCCTCTCTCTATCTCTTTAGATTTATAGTTCATAATTATTGAAAATTTTACAGTTTGAGAAAATCCATACGTAAATTAAGTCAAGAATAACGCTTTTGTTATTCCTTTTTAATTTAATTAATAAGTTAAAGTAGCTGAAATAAGTAAACCGAAGAGAAAGGTGAAAATAAAATAAAACACGGACAACATTATCTTTAGTCATTTTATTTCCTCTCGCAATGCTTATATTACAAAACATACTTTTTCAGACACATTGAAAATATGCTCTATTTACACTGGATGTGTAACATCTCATTTTTACAGGAATAATTAAAATTGTAATATTATATAGTAGGTATTCTCATAGGCTTTCGTATGGTAATATGATTATGGCAGTAAATTTACAACAGAGTCTATAATCGTTCGCATAATTATTAATATGGATGTTATACGTTTAATGCATAGTGTCGTTTACGTTTACCATCAAAAGATCAAATCAAACACATTGTATTTTTATTATTTACTTTATGAACAAAAATTCATCGCTACATACATCACCTCTATTATAGTAAAAAAGTAAATATCAACAAATTTTTGATAACTTTTGGTATAAAATTAATTAACTAAAAAATCAATAAACTGATTAATTAATTAATTGATTGCGATAAGACTCCTAAATGTTACGTCGAACACATTCAAAATGAAAACAAAAAAGTATTTGTAAGGAATTCAAGCGAAGACTGTTTTATAATATTACAAATACCGACCTTAATAACGCTCGTAAATAATTTTTTTTAACTTTTTTTTCTTTACAAGCAAATTTATAACAAATTCGCCTTTAATTTGCTAAGATTCTGCGATATGTCATTAAACCCGATAAGCTTAGATGAAAAGCATATAGAACACGCCCTTAAAACAATACCCAAGCCTAAAACCGTTTGCTAGTTTTAGAGTATATTACTCAAGTATTGTATGCAGGGTAAATATAGTCGATTTGACTTCAAGACGAATGTTAAGTTAAATCGATTTTTATCAAATATTTTTTCTAACATTTTTATATATTTGCCTACCATCACACACAGAGTTCTTGCACTAAAACTAAAATTAATGAAAGAAAATTGAACGATATTTGACAGAAGACCAATTTGTTAATATTGTCTACAAGTGCTTTGCCATATTTTTATATCCACCTCGCTATATTGTGAACTTCAATAGCTTATTCTCATTTCATGTTTCAGTCTAAGTTTACAAAGTTATAATTATTACAATCTATCAGGGTCTTTTCTTCAATTTCTTTTAATTATACATCTTAAATATGATTAGAACGAAAGTTATTCGCTACTATTACACGCCAAGCGACTATATATGTACAGTACATCGTTTATTTCTTACACGCTTATCTTAACTTTTCTTATTTTCAATTAAATATAATTTTTTTTAACTACAAAACAAAACGAACTATTGATTAATATTATTGATGGCGTACGTTGATCATGGAAAAATCTAAGTGACAATCTGTAAGGAAGATAATCTAGTGAATGTTGAACGACAGCTCTTAGGCAGTAATATTCGTCTTCGCTTTAAAGATAATATGACTAAATTTGATAATTTCCTAATAATGAAACTTTTCTTTATATTCAATGCAAGAATCACAAAACTTAACACTAGTGGGTAGTTCCATCTGTATTTTGAACTAACTGCGGAAAGTAAACTACAGTTTTTGAAAAAAGGTACGAAAATGAATCTACAAGTACAAATATACAAAGAAACCGTACCTAAAAAGCCTATCCTGTACAACACTTTTAATCGCGAAATATCTTTTTAGTTTCACATTTGCCCTCTCTCATTACAAACACACGCCTATAACTAATGTCAGCAATAAATTTTAAAATTTATATCGCTAAGCAAAATAACTGAACTCGTTCACATGTGCAATCAATTAAGATACAGTGATTACAAAATTTATAAAACAATATTGCATCATTTACTTTACGAAAAAACCAACGTTTTACTCTTTTATTTTTTATGGTTAGAAAACCGTTCAGCATAATAAAAATTTACTTTACAAATTCTAGATCTGATTTTTTTTCTTTTTCATGTAGTTTCATTCATTGTGCAGTTAACAGGAAAAGAAATTTTTCATATAAATATGCGCCGTACAAACTGTTAACGCCAACTCATTCTCAAAAAGTAAAAAAACAAAAATACTCATTACGTAGAGTTTTCGCTCTGAAAAATCGAATAAGCGTTTTTAATAAATAATCTACCACACACTAAAATCACATGGATCCTTATTCGTAGAACACGTATCAAGAAGTGCTATTTCGATGCTTTTTGCTCTTGCCCTTACCACCAACGCTGCTGCCGTTAGCGCCAGGTGTTTGTTCGTCATTTTCACTTCTACGTCGTTTTTCCTTTAGCTGCTTTTCCATTGCCAGCATCGTGATCATTTTTTTGTGCGAGTCACCGACAATCCAGCCGTGTTGCTGTAACTTATCATCGTCCGATCCTTCTGGTATGACCGGCAGGTTTGGCGGGACTACAGGAACAGGTGGAAGAACCGAAGCCACCTCCTCATCTTCGCTTGAGCTTGACCAATAGTACAGTTGATTAGCGGCTGCCCGTTTTCTGCGGCCAATCGCTACACCTACTCCCTCATCGAGTTTGTTCCAGGATTTCGCAGCTTTGAGTTCTTCGTCGTCATCCAGATCGGATTCTCGTTTACTGCTCTGTAAACGCGGTTGTTCTTTTGTCTCTTTATTCCGGCTAACGGATATTGGTCGATTTTTTGAGCGCTTCTGCGTGCTGCTCGGAGTTTGCTTGAGTTTTTTCGTTTCGTTTGGTGTCTTAGCTTCACTTATCTTCTGAAATTTTTTAGTTTTTTGAGGAGATTTTGCCGCTGGTCGTTTCTTCTTCGTAAAGGTAGCCTCGGGTGATGTATTCACATCTTCGTTTTCGGTATCAGTCGTTACGATTCTGCTCGTCGAGTTCGATTGCCTACCCTTATTTTCATCAGGTGCTTCATGATTCTTCAGCTTTCTCGAATTGGCCTTCCTATTCTTGATTGTTGGAATCTTTGCTTTTGTGCTTGACGACTCGTCGGCGGAGGCTTGCTTCTTCTCGTCTTTTTCGGAGCTGGAAGCCTCGCTGGCCGCACTCATTCTCTTTTCCTCGAGTTCACGCATAATCTCCTCTTCAATGGCTTTTTGCTCCTTGGCTATCATCTGCTCGTGCTTCTTCTCCAAGTATCTCTCTTTGCGCTTCTCTTTTGATTCGCGTTGCTTTTGTTTGCTGCGCGGCTTCTCGTGGTTGTCCGCTCGGTCGGCGGATTTCTTTCTGCAAGGTACCGAGAGCTCCTCGTCCGAGCTGCTGATCTCGGCTAGTAGGCCTTGTTTACCTATAGCACACTTTCTCTGGCGCCTCGCTGGCTGCATATCCAGCATTATGCGCTCCTGCTCTTCCATCAGTTTTTTTATCTCCTGCTGTTGTTTTCGCTTCTTTGACTCTTGAACTTTACGGCTCAAAAACACGTGCAAAGGCAGATTTTCTGACTGACGTTCAGGTTTTTCATTGCTCGATAGCTTTTCCGGTAGGTTTTCTTCTTCGTCGTCGTGAGATTCGTCGGTTTGTGGTTTTTCAGTTTTTAGGAAGACTTCGGGAGTGGATAGTTTGGAAGCTGTGGAAAATTTCTCTGTGATCGGTGGTGCCGACAGTGTCTCTTCCTCGGGACGATCTAATAGTTCTAATGCGTCTTCAATGGTGATATATTTCTCGGGCGAAGATATTTTATCTTGGGGGGACGCGTTAGGAGCTTTAACGAGAGAGTCTGATTTTTCCTCAGTTGCGATGAAAGATTCGTCGTGATCGGAGTCGATGATCGAGCTGTCTTCTCGATAAAGATCATCAAGCTCAAAAATGCGCTCTTCGGTTTCATCGTCGCTGTTGGTTTGATGTTCTGTGTCACCAGATTCTTTTAGGTTCTCATCTATGACTAGCGGATGATCTGACAGTTCGGATTCAGACTTTTTGTTGTCGTGATCGATGAGCGGTGAACTTCTTTTCACACTCGACTTTTTGATAGGCCAATCGTCTACTTCTTTCTCTGCTGCCGAATAGAATAAAATCAGATTATTATTACTTATTTTAAATATTTCTTATATTATAAGAAATTTTAATATTTACCAAACTCACTTGTTTCTTTTTCCATACTAAATTTTTTGGCGGACATTGGTCTTTTCTTTCTAAAGTGAACATCGTCTTCTTCAAACTCGCTTTCCGATGAAGTGGACGAGATCTCTGCAAACAGATTCTGTTTTCCTTTTGAGCAAGTTCTTTGACTTTTCGAAATACCAACTCCAATGTCATCGGCTTTGAGTTTAGTCACAAATTCGTCCGAACTGTCATTCTCGTACCAAGCGTTTCTCGACTTTTTTTTCGAACTTTTACTCGTTTTCTTCTTTGACTTGCCAGAGTGTTTATTGGCTGAATGCTCACCCGACGATCGTTTTGATTTTTGCCGTCTCTCAACAAAATCATCCATAGAACCTGAAAAGAGATATTTTATTAATAATTTTGCAATTATTTTCACAATATGTATTAACAATATGCATACGTATGACGTTCAGCTGTGACAACGTATCACCTTCGACGGGCGTTCTAATAGGTGATTGGATGCCAATCTCATAATTGTCAACATCCTTGAACTTTCGATCGACCATATTCTCCAGATTTTCACCAATCGCACTGACAGACTTACCATTCGCCAAAGTATCTCCAATGGTCTTGGATAATAGCGCCGACATATTGATTTCTTTGGGAGTTTCTGCTTTAATCCGATATGATAGTACGGGTGGTATACCTGGATCACTTTCGCTCTCCTCGTCGTCAAAGTCGTACACATCTTTGACCTTGTCTAATCCACTTTGATCCTTTTTCTTATCAAAAAAGCTACTATCGCGACGTTTCTTTCTTTCGGCCAAGCCACCACGGTATTGACTTGTACGGATTATCGGCAGATTATGTTGCGCATTTTTGGCTTTCTTTTGCTTCTTCGGTTTGTCGGACGATTTAGGACTTGATATTTTCAGTTTTATGATATGCTGCTTTTTTTCGTTAAGTTCGTTTTTACGTTCAAACAGTTCTTTGATTGGGTTTTTGGATTTTTTCGTAATGACTTTTGAGTCAAACTGATTGTTATCCTCGATCGATGGACTGATTTCTTCGTGACAAGGAGGTGATCTTCTGGATCTTTCCGGTATCGTTGGTGTTGTGACGCTTGGAGCTCGCGCACACGCTAATTCAGCAAGAAGATTCATAGGTGTTGAACTGTAAATTTAATCAATTATAATAAATTAATAACACAATATGGTGTCAGCCATTTAAAGTGAATGAAATGGTTTTAATTAGGGGTAACGACTTACGGATGATCATGCTTTTCGTTGTTCTGAAGCAAATTTGACAAGGTTTTGTCGAGTAAACCATCTATTCCATTGCTTGGTTTGCTCTTGGAATGACGCTCATTCAGCGCGGTGTCGAAAGTATAGCTGTTATAACCTGCCTCTATCTCGGAGCTATTCTTTTGGCCAAAAGACGTAGCGATAAGATCCTCGCTTTCACGCATCCTCTGCTGAATCTTATCCCTAAGCTTATTGTTGTGCTCGAACGCGACGTCGAGGCTGTCGTCGTAACCCATGTTATCGTCATCGGTGGCTCGCTCAAGCAAATTTCGTTCGGGACTATCATGACGTCGGTTATGATGATGATGGTGGTGATGGTGATGATGGTGACTGTGATGCCGGCGCTTTGAGGCATTTATCGAGTAGTCTTTCTCTTGGCTGTTGTATTCTTCACCGAGCAACTGTGAAAAAGTATGGAGAATATCAAACACTGAATCAAAGAGAACAATATTTACATGCTTTCCAATTTTTTTTTATAATGATACACTGCCGATTGATTTCATATCGTAGAATAAGCTTTTGACGACTTGCTATTATAAATATATTACTAATATATATTGCTATTATAAATATCTTTTCCTTGATCTCACATAAATTTTTTGTAATACGTCAAAAGCTTATTCGTGAAAATGCTCTACACACAGCATTTGGATTCGTAGCACTAGAATCTAACTTTACATTGTTGAAAGTGTCGAGTGCAACTTTTAATGATAATAATTTTCGTGATGATGATGGGGTGGAAGACAGGAGTGAAGGTACTCATAAAAGTGAAGTTATAATGAGAAGTCTACCTTTCCGCATGCATACCAAGAGAGAGATATTATCTGTACAAAGCTGGGTCATAGGTCCTGCAAAAACTTATTATAGACTAATTGACGTAACTGCGATGATATAGTCAAACGACTCATATGATATGTGCATTGATCATTAAATTCTTTCGTTGAGCTACATCGATATAAGTAAAAGCGCAATGAATTCAAAGATGAATGTTTCAGCAGAGAGGCGTTAGCAATAAAAAAAATGAAGAACATTGTCATTGAATTAAAATAGAAAAATTTAATTTAATTATTAATTAATTTAAAAATTAAAATAGAAAAAATGCATAATCAATAGGCAGCTTATTGAAATAGCAACTAAAGTAATCTTTAATTGAAAATGAAATATCGCAATCTTTCTCTCGTTCTAATCAATAATTTCAAAGAAATTTACGATTTTAAGACATTCAATTTGACCAGCTATTAATTAATTTTAATAGTTAAATCACATTCCTCGATAAATTAAAAAATCGCAAAAGCGAAACGTTTTACTTTTCGCATAGGGCCCTCGTTCTGACATTCCTTTTATCATTATATTTTTTATTGATGAAACATGTATTTGTTCAATGTTATTTCATTTTCTCAGGATTTATTTTTTTACTTGTTGGAATGCATGTTGAATTTCGATAAATTATAATTTATTATGTATACAATGTTAAGGTAAAATTTGCATATATACAATCAATTTTGTATAATAACGTTTTTTTCATTCATTGTACATGTAAAAATCTCAAAGAGAAATGTTAAAATAATAATATTGAAGTAAAATTTAGGGTATCGATATATTTTTAATTATATTATAACTAATTTTCATATCAAGAAACATTATAGGCTATAGAATAATAAAAAAATAAATATAAGCTTGCATATATTTTGACGATCAGATTTGATTTTTTATTATATTTTTGACTGTTTTTTTTTCCTTATATTGTAATGGTGTGAAAATGGTATGTAATACATCTAAATATTATACGGTAACAAATCTAAACAATTCATAACTCAATAGTTACTATAGTCTAACTTACTATAATAAAGATAATATGTAAATTTTTATTTTACAGTATTTATCTTTAACTATTATATCCTATACTTTTATGTTTTGTTTTTTTCCAATCCCACAAATAGAAAGAGCTTCCCTTTTTTTTCGGTGATCGACATTTATTGAGGTATATTTGCCATTTGATTATAAACATTAAATTAGAAATTAAGGAGGTTTTAGTTAAATATTGTTATCATTTATAATGACTGTACAAAATATTAATATAAATAATAATAATGGTAGCAGCTTAGAAATTATTTTTCAAATTTACTTGAAAAAAAATAGTAGTATAAATAATAATAACGATAGTAGCTCTCAAATTATTTCTTAAATTTACTTGAAAAATTCCCTTACATTTTAATTTAATGGATCAACTATCCTCACATTCTATATGATGAAACAATATACTTTCTTTACCACTGAATTGATATGAATTAATAAAATTATAAGTACATTCTGATTACTTTTTGTAATTAGAACCTTGAGAATATGGAAAATTTCTCAAATTAATATGCAGTCAAAGATTTTAATATGAAAATAATTTTAAACATGAGTTATTATGATTTGCCATTTGATTATAAACATTAAAACATTAATTAAGAAATTAAGTGAGTTTTAGTTAAATATTGTTATCATTTATAATGACCGTACAAAATAGTAGTATAAATAATAAAAAATGGTAGCAACTTACAAATTATTTTTCAAATTTACTTGAAAAAAAATAGTAGTATAATTAATAATAACGATAGCAGCTCACAATTGATTTTTTAAATTTACTTGAAAAATTCCCTTTTATTTAATGGATCAACTATCCTCACATTCTATATGATGAAACAATATACTTTCTTTACCATTGAATTGATATGAACTAATAAAATTATAAGTACAATCAGATTACTTTTTGTTATTAGTACCTTGAGAATATGGACAATTTCTCATACTAATATGCAGTCAATGATTTAATATGAAAAAAAAATGAGTTATTTGCCATGTTTGCGATGAACATTATTTATTTGATACTATTAATATTTTTCAAACTACTTGTTTTTTGTATTAATTAGAATCATAGTAATATACAATTTTTCAAAGTAATATGAAGTGATATGAATTGATGGAATATCCGTAGTTTGAATTTTTTATTTCCAATCATATGGACTCTTTTTGTGAAATAATATTAAGAATTAATGTGCTAATTCAATAATATGATTTTATATATACAATAAAATTCTGAATTTATGTATATATAAAATGGAATACAGTTGAAAGCTTAAAATGTAAGAAATATATAAAGTTATGATAATCTAGATATATAAAACCAAGATATTGTCCAGTAGAGTAGCAAATTTAGTGAAATTGGGGTAGTCCGTACGGACGGAACATATTTCCAGGATGGCTGGATACGTATACCCTGTGGGAAAAGTCTTGGTTTAACAAGTCAAACTGAATTCCTAATTATACGGAACCACTTTTCTGAGATCAAATTCAATAGGCCCTCTCTATATGACTGGGCAGTGAACGAGGGCCCAAAAATGATACACACCCACTATAAGAGGTTAATTTACAGTTATTTAAAGTTAACATTGAATAAATAAATCTACAAATCAAAATAGCTCAGTAAGATAATTGGCAGTACTTAAGTAAATTTTATAATAAGATATTTTACCTGATTGACTGATTCCAACAAGCTTCCCAAGCTGTTTTGACTTTCCACGTCTTTCCAATGATCCTTCCTGTAGGCAAGTTGTTCGTCTTTTCTATGGTGATGCGAGTGGCCGGGTTGATGATCCACTGAGTGGTCGAGCTTGATCTTTTTAGCATTCCGAAACTCTTTCTCACTCGTAGCTTTGAGTCTCGAGCAGCACTCAACAAAAAGCTCCTCGTCAAAATTGAGCACCTTGGGTTTATTGGCAAGTAGCTCGAGATCCTGAGCGTTGTCTTCAACTGCGTCAGTTGGAGCGATGGTCAGCATCTCGTTCGACCTCTTCTTCTTATGCTTTTGGCTATTTTCCTCGTCACTTGACGAACGCAATGTGTCGGCGTCTTCGTTGCTCGAGTAAGTCGGTGAGAGCCTTCCATTCAATTCTTCCGTCTCGGTGTTATCCACCTCGGAAGATTGGGCTTTATCAAGCGTCGACTGAGATACCTGAGAATCCTCGGTGTTATCTAGCATCTCTTGCTCGTCTTCGTCGTTACTCTGATATTTCGCCTGCTTAGACTCGAATGATGCAACCAGGTCTTTGGCATTGCTTCTCTTTTTACCTGTCTTCAACTTGCAACTGACTTTCTCATTCTCTACTTCTAAATCTTCGCCATCGCCTTCGTTCTCTTCGTCCTCGGTCTTATCCTTGGAAGGACTATCAGATTTTACTTGATTTTTTCTTGATAATCTGAGATTCTTAGTTACACGACTTTCACCGATTACCGGCGAGTCATCATTGAAAGCCCGAAAAATCAACTCTTCTGCACGTTTCTTACTTTGCCTACTTCTGCCGGCTACTTCTGTCAATTTTTTGACATTACGCTGATTCTTCACCGATCTTGATTTTCTTGTAAACTTTTCAACTTTTTCGTCTACGCTCTCGTCAGACCAATCCGAACGTGATTGCCAATCGTCGAGGACCTCCTTCACTTTTTCACCACCGAACACACGACCAAATACGCTCTTGACGATCTTGCTTTTGCTTCTCTGTGGTTTGTCTTCCGTCTTCTCTTCGATTTCACTTGCGTCGCTCGAGCTCAAAGCGTCGTTTGACGTTTTAACAGCGTTGTTCTTAGGTTTCCTTCCACGTTTCTTTGCTTTTTTATCTACTGGATATTTGGTTGATGACTTTTCCGTTTTGTTTAATTCTTCTTTGGCATCCGACGCTACAATGGGTGTGATAGGTTTTTTAACGTTCATCACGTCGACGTTGGTTATGGTACTCTGTGAATCCTCATCGGTTTCATTAGCGATTTCCGTAGTCATCTCGGGATCATCTAAAAGTTTTTGAATGTCTACAGAAATGTTGGTATCCAGAGAATTTTCATCACTGTCAAAGTCACCAAGCATCGCCGATGTCACGTCGTTTTTAGCTTCCTCGAAAGTCTTCAAGTTTTCGGTTCTTTTGGAGAAAAGTGTTTGTTTTGTACTCTCGTCAGAAATATTTACGTTAACAGTTTGATCAACAGGTAGCGACTGAATTGATATTTCAGTATCATCCGTAAATGTGCTTTTTTCAGTTAACTCTGCATTTGATAACTCTTTTGTATCTGCTGTTTGTTCGTTTTCGGGCGAATTCTTAGATTTTCGTTTATTTCGATTCTTTTTTGATTTTGATTGTTTCTGATCAGCAGTAGCAACCTTCTCCGGAACAATAGATACATCTACATCCTTTTCAACTGCTGATTCTTCAATTAATATTTTACTACTATCGATAGAAACATCTCTGTCAAGAATTGATTTTTCGACATCCACTTTAGCATTCTTCGGTTTTCTGCCTCGTTTCTTTTTGGCAGGTTCAACTTTTTCCGCAATGATATCTTCAGTAAGTTCTATGGCTACGTCTTTGACTTCATTGCTTTCAACTTTCGATTTTATAAAATTAATATCTTCGTTATCATTCAATTCAGTCTCGAGTGCATCTTTTTCGATTAAAGAGATCTCCAAATCTTCGGCATTATCGGCCTCTTTATCTCCCCTTGCTTGATTTTTCTTTCCTTTCTGCTTCTTATCAGGAATATCTTTTTCGGCATCTATTATCTCGGTAGCACTTGGATTATTCTTATTTTGCTTTGTTGAAGTTTGCTTAGCTTTTGTGTGCAAAACATATCTCTCGAAGTCAGATTGCTCACTTTCAATAGCACTAACATTATTCTTATCTCTTTTAGATTTCAAAGTCTCTTGTTCCTCGGTACTTTCATTGGGAGATTCTATCAAGTCAAAGTCGTCTTCCTTATAACTCGGCCTCAACTGATTTCTCTTTGGACGAGAAGATTCTGAGAAATTAATTTCCTCCATTTGATTACAATGCTGATTCTTATTACGGATCGACCGTTTGTTTTCGTTGGTACTTTTCTTTTCGGCATTTTTCTTTGATTTAGTTTCATTTTTGCTGATAGTGATCTCCCCGTTTTGTATTGCAGGTTCTACAGGTTCATTAATTTCACCTTCTACTAGAGTGTCGTTTTCCGTCGAGAGGATTAAACACGAATCCAAATTCTTTTCACTTAATGCATCCCCGGATGACTTGACAGACGATGGTGTTTCAGGTATTTTTATCGGTATAGGTGTGTCTAAGCTAAGATGCTCGTCAGTCAAATTAATCTTCTTCTTGTCTTTCTTTTTCATTTTTGGCGGTGCCTTGATAAACGGTGTGGGTATTTCCATAGACGCTTTGGGATTTTTGGCGAGTGGCACAACTTCGTTAACCGGTGTCGATGATGCCTCGGGAGTGAGAGGACTAACGTGATCAGTGAGCACATACTCGTCGTGGCTCATGTTTTCGGTAATCTTACATATCTCTTCATCCAGCATTTCATCCTCCAACTCTTCTTCGGGCGACTTATGAGCAAAACGTGGCTCCGGTATAATTATGACGGGCTTTATGAATTTAACAACGTTGACATCCATCTTCGGTTCATCTGACGTTTTCTCCTCTATTATCGCTACGGCCTCTTTCAATTCCAATTGATCTGCAACTTCTTTGTTTTCTTCTACTGGCATGATGTCGTTTTCGACCACCGCTTCAATTTCTTTCTCTTCGTCTATTGCATTTTTTTTCTCATCTTCACGATCAATAATTTCGTCTGCAAGGTTGTCCAAGTTGTCAGATAGCAGTACATGCTCGCTGTCTTTGAGTTCCTTAGCAGCACTTTTAGTTTTATCGCCGTGCATAGTCACTTGCAGAATATGCGATTGTGAGGAGTTGTGCTTTTTAAGGCTGCTCTTGCGAGTGAAGCTCGTCGAGCAAACTTCGCAGAAGAACTTGGCCGCCTCCTTCGTGAGCTTTTTCTTTTTCTCAACAATCAATACCTTGCCGGACTTCGTAACGATGGCAAAATTGCCAGCTACTCGCTTCTTTGGAGCTTGCATTTCAAAGTTCGACGACTCGTCGTGCTCGTAACTGGAAAGTTCGTTCGGCAATGCGGACTCCTGCTTATTTGTGGTTTCAAGTGTCTCATCAATAGAAGTTTGCTGAGACTCGGGTGTGCTCGAGATCTCGCAACTTTCTTCTGCTGTTTCTAAATTTTCTTGAACATTTGGAATTTCGCCCGACTTTTCTTGCAACTCGGTCTCTTTTATTTCACACACCAACGGTTTTTCGATCTTGCTATCACTTTCGATCGTTATTTCTTTTGAAAGCAATTCCTCGACAGCTTTAACTCCTTCGACTTCAATATGCGTCTCGTTAATTTGTTCCAAATTTAATTTTTCAACAGCCATATTTTCGGGTTCCAATGAACTATCTACATTGGTTGAAATTTCACCGTCAATTTCGACGGGTTCATCAATAATTGTAACGTTTTTCTTGGCTTTTTTACTCGTAATAGATTTTCTCTCGGGTTTCATATCCCATGATGGCACGTTTTCATCGATAAAGCTCTCTGAAACGTCACGACTACAATCGATATTAATATTTTTACGTTGCGATCTTCTTCGTCGTATCGTCTCAATATTATTCGATGGAGATACGTCAGAATCGTCTGATTCTTTCATATTCGCAGTGCTTTCGATTAATTCTTCAAATTCAACGTGCTTGCTATTTCGAGTAGTACGTTTAGAAACGCAATTGTTTATCAACTTTTCTTCTGACTCAAACATTGACGAGTTTTGATCCACACTATCATTATCTTCTGAAGTTTGTTTTTCGCTAATGTCTTCATCTTTTTCAGATTCTTGATCACTACTAGAACGTTCAATTCGAGATCGCCTCCTTGATATACGTTTTCTACCCGGTTTCCCAATTTCAGTCGTTTCAGGAACTTTGAATGATTCGTCCGTTCTTGGAAGAATTTCTTCATTTGACTCAAGTTCTTTGACGTAAATACTGTTTTTCAATGCAACTTTTCTCTTTGATTTTGACGGTTTTTCTTGAATAGAGTTTTCGGATACGGCATCATCGACAACTTTATTTTCAATTTTTTCGTCGTGCAATTCTGTTTCCGAATTCTGCTCTGGTAATAAAACTTGGCTATTAATCAAACTATTCGTCACACTTTTTTCAGCATGATTCTTTTCTTGTGTATTTTCAATTATGGGAAAACGGCTGCTTTCAACTTTGAGCTCGCTTCTATCGCTTTTATTGTTTATATTATTTTCAATCTGCTGCTCGACTTGACTACTCGTCTTACAAATATTCTCATTCTGATATTCCATGTCGTTATAAATGTCACTGAATGATTTTGGATGCTCATTGTTTTTGTTCTTTTTTTGTCCACCCTTGCGTTTGGATTTTTTAGGATTTTCGTGTTCGTTATTTAATGAAGTATTGAAGATCGTTTCATTGATATCTGTATTGGACGATTCTAGTACCGTCTCGTCGTCAGGAGTTTTTCGTTTACCTGATTTTACAGCTTCGACTTCAATTTTTTCAGCTGGTTCAATCGGTAATTCACTAGGTTTCGATCTATTTAGTAATTTTATAATATCAGCAAGGCAAATTTCTTCTTCTTCGTCCTTGTTTTCAGTATCATTATCGTCTACTGATTTTTTCTTATTCTTCGTCGGAGAATCACTGTCTAAAGATCTTTTCTTCGACTTTTGTTTTTGTTTTGATTTTTGCTTGATAGTGTCTGTCCTTTCTTGATCAGTGGTAACAAGTAATTTATTATCTAAATCAATAGATACTTTAGAATCGATTTTTTCAATAACTCCATTCATCACTTCGACTTCATTATCTACTAATTTACTTTCACTTTCATTAATATCATTACTAACACTAATTTCCGCCGTTTTTACACTTACTGCCACAGAATCTTCAATAATAGAATTACTTACAGAATCTACCTTCGATAATGACGTATCTACACTCTTTTGAATATTTTCTTCTACTAAAGCGTCGGTATCATTAACTTCATTAACTTCATTAACTTCATTAACTTCATTAACTTCATTATTTACACTATTTACCATAGCTTCATTTAAATTTACACTCGTTTCCCTATTTAGCACACTTTCGCTTTCGGGTTTAATTTCTTCTATTTTTGTACTATAAATTTCTTGTATATGTATTTGTTTGCTAGTATTTTCCAAATTTTTCTGAGTGTTTAATGAAACATGCGCAATGTCTAAATGACAACTACTGTCGCCGTCGAGAGAAACGTCCTTCTGCTTTGCTATTTTCGATACAATTTTCTCTAAAAATGATCCCTTACCTTTCGGCTTTCGCCTGGATAAATCTAAAATTATATCATTCGTAGGTTGCTCCACTATGGGCACAACTTCTTTCGCAACTTCACTGCTAATTTTCTCTAAAATAGGCATCGTCTCTTTTTGACTTTCTTCCGCAGCTTTCGGATCGTCCTGTTTTTTGGGAATGATATCTTCGAACATTACTGTCGCAGGTCCTTCACTCGTTTGCTGCAGAGCCGCAGAAATCGGAACAGCTGCATTAGCACTCACATCAGCAACATCTGCAACCTTATCATTGATATTTTCACATACATCCGTAACTTTACTTTCAATGGTACTAGAATTGCTATTTTCTATCGTCGTTTGATCACTACTCTGACAAGTGATTTGCGTATTACTACTAATGACCGTATCTATAGTAGTTTGAGCTGTTAAAACTATCGTAGAGTCTTGGGCTTCCAATGGTACGTTGACCCCCTCGGTGAGTATACCAATAACATTGTTAAGGGATCTTTTGGTAGCCATGGATTTGTCTTTGCGACCTCTAGACTTCTTTGGACGTACAACTTTCAGTTTAGATAAGTTCGCAATAGTTTCTGACGAATTTTCTTTGCCACTATCCATGTTCGAGTTCGAGGATTCATGCTGCAAAGCTTCCAGACTCAAATTTTGTGCGTTGCTACTATCACTTCTATCCTCGCTGCTAACAATCGACGAGTCGTTATTTTCGCTGCTCGTGTTCGGAGTTGTGAGATTTGTCACCTCCGTTTCGGTAAATTCTTTAGGCACCTCAGCAGTCTCAGTTTCAATTTTATCTGATTTTTCGATCACAGTTGAAACTACGTCTGATGATTTGATCCCATCGATATTACTGACACTGCGCTTGACTCGACCGCGACGCTTACCAGGCACCGTCTTTTTCGGACAAGGCTCGATAATATGTTGCTTGTTCTCAACGTCCGCGTCGCCCTTTTCTAAATCATTCGGCGTTTCAATGGCTGATTCTTTTCTATTAACGGCCTCATTTGTTATCGTCTCTTTAATCTTCGTTTCTGCTTTCGAATCGGTCTCCTCGGTCGCGTCTTTAGTGTTAAAGTCTTTGTTTCTCTGTGATTTCCTTAGAATCTTTTCTTTCTTCGAGGGAGAAGAATCTTCCAAATCAACGGTCTTCTCGCTTTTTTTGCTATCCGAATCTTTCTGTGCTCGTTTTGAATTTTTCTTGTCGCTACTCTCTTTAGCTACTTTCTTATTTGGACCTTCCTTCGCTTTCGAGTTTCTTCTTTTAATGATCTTCTCTTCGACAGCGTCCACAGCGGGCGACGATGTCACTTCCAACGCGGATTTGGAATTCTTCTTTGGTGCTTCCGCAAGCGCGTCTCTCTCGTCCTTGAACGTGACCGTGCGTCTGAGCTTGGGCTGCGACTCACCGTTCGACGACAACCTCTGACTTCTGGTTTTCGGTTCCGTCGGCGATTCATCCAATTTATTCGTCGGGCTTTCACGGTTAGCCTTCGCCTCGGTCACATCCTTCTTTGGTCTTCTGCCTCTGCCGATAATTGGTACGAGCGTCGATTCCGTCGTCGATTTGTCCGCCGTGGCAAGGTCGCCATCCAGATTACGCCTTGACGCGGTTCTGCCAATCTTTTGTTTGGGTACGACGGTGACGAGCTCGGTATTCTTCTCGACAGCATCCTCCTTGTTCGTCGAGTCCGTTTCGATCCCTTCGGCGTCAGTCGATCGCAGCCGTGTGATCCGCCTCGACAACTTGGCGTGCTCCTTCCAAGCCGACGTTGCGGCTGCCCTGAGCTTGGAGCGCGTGAGCAGTCTTGAGGGGTCGTTGACCGATCCCTTGGAGATCTTCAGACTCTTGACGTCGAGGGAGACGACCAGCTTCTTGTCGACGTTGCGCGCGAACTTGCCGTCGTTCGTGCGCAGCTGCGACTTGGCCTTGAGCGAAGCGTTGATCGACGTCAAAGGATTAAGGATTCGCCGCTTGAGCTTCCTGCCGGGCGCCGCGCAGTCGGAGCTTGCGCTCTTCTTGGGCAGCCCCTCCTCGTCCTCTTTTGCCTCGTGGTCGAGCGTGGTAGCGTCCACGGCACTCCTGAGCATGATTCGTCGCTTTGGCTGCTCGACGTGCTTGGTGGCGCTTTCCCTCGACGCGACGACGTTCTTCTTTTTACCGAGCACCCGAACGCCGCGTACGTGCTTGCCGCGCCTCGTCGTCTGCTGTGGCTCTACAGCCAGCGCCGAGTCCTGCTCGGCTGCTTCCACCTCGTGCTGCTTCTCCTCGCGCAGGTTCTTCTTGCGCTGGAACGACTTGGCATTCTTCAGCAGTTTGTTGCGTAGCACCGCCTTGCTCTTGACTATGCGCGAGGCTGGGTTATCTACCGCTCTGGCGCGAGACTGCAGCTGCGAACAGATCAAACGTAGTGGTCATTTTCTTTTTCAATCGGCCTGCTTCATGAAATGATCATGCAAGAATCCGTTGCTCGATAAACAGCGAATAGAGTTTCGCAGACTTTGTATGCCTTCAGACTTGAAAAACAATAAAACCGCTGCAAATTTACTAATCACTTTTTGTTCAATAAAGCCGCTCAAGAGGATATAATATATTATTGTACCTAACCGTGAATTCGCTGTGAGAATCAGTATTTGGTGAAGATAATCATTCATTTAAACAGATTAGCAAGTTATAATTTGAGTGTTATCAGTGGCATACGCGAGTCATCGGGTCTGCATCATATCTAATTTCGAGTAATAAAAATAACGAAATACTCCAGAACTATACGCGTTTTTCCTCGATAAGTAGTGGTGGAGCCGTTAATCTTGAAAAAAATAGTCTAGCAATCGAAGGAAAATGCTGTATGGGCGATTAACATTAATAGCCGAAGATGCGGGCTAATCAAAAGGGCGTTTATAGGATGGTGTACGAGAACGCGGTAGTGGCAGAGATTAGAGGAAGGAGGAGGAGGAGGGCGGCGGCGCCCACACCCTCGAATCGATAATATAGTCGCGAGCGAGAGAGCGCGGCTTGCGACTTATCGCGCGCAATGAGGAGCATTATCGGGCTTTTTGCTCCTCCTCGTCTTTGTTCGCGCGCGGCTGCATTTGGGTCAGCCGTGCAACGCCGCCGCCGCCACCGCCGTCACGGAGAAAATCTCGACGACGCGAAGCCGGCTGGCCGCTATATGCCTTGTATACTCACCGAGTGACCTGAACTTGCGATGCTACTTGCCTTCGGTCGCCCGCTGTGTGTAGCCTTTTCTCATTATCCCGACCGCCTTTTTCTCCCCCCCCCCCGGCCCACGCTTTCCTTCCTTCTTCCTCTCTTTTTCACGCTCGCTCTAATTATTTTTTCTCCATCTCCCTTTTCGGGCGACGACGGTTGTGCGTGAATCTTGCTTCCTGAGCTTTTATCGCGTCGCGCTGATTCCTGACGTACTTTTTCCTGCTTGCAGTACTGTTCGCTCATGTGAATGGATTAAATGAGTTGCGTATGTTTACTGAGAATTGTCAATAATTTAAATATCATCCTTCGCTAAATTTTTTAGCCATAAAATACTTCTTCGTATTATATTCTGACATGGGTTAATTTGATGAAAAATTGGCAGTGAGAAAACAAATTTACATTTTACTTCAACATTTCAACATGCAATTATGCTGTATAAATATAACCATCGTTAAAATTTACATTACTTTTTTCCACTGATGCAGTTTATCTTTCCGTCGACTCTTGTATTTAAAGTATTAGTGAAGTTATTGTCTCTTACGTGATCAGAAGTCAATTCAGAATATTAAATAATCAAATTAAATTTTATGATACGTGAATCAATAAATCTTTCAAAAAACTGTCAACGCAACGAATTTCTATTTTTTTTTATGTACATGAAGTATATGCATCCTAATATTATCAACGATTTCATGACTGTACAAAAAAGATTAAACTGTCAAGTCTTATCGATAGTGATTAGCGAATAATGAGCTAATGAATGTGCCACGTATCAACGTCGTTTATAATTAAAATCAGCAATTAATTTTCGAAAGTGAGTCTTGATTATCATAGATTTATTGTTAAAAGTCGTATAACTTACATTACGGAGACGGCCTTGAGATCGTGCGGCATTTTCTTGAAGGACTTTCCGTGTTGTCCTCTTTGCTGGCAGATTAGCCAACATTTTTTGTATGCTTTCGCCTGAAAAAAAAGAAAAACATCAGGGATTGCAAAATATCGTAGAGAAAGTGACCACTTATTGCTAGATTGCATTTGAGATGCCAAGTCGAAACGCTAATTATAATAAGTGAACCGAAAGCGACGCGATAAGGGTAAACAAATTTGCAGTGCATAATTTAACAAATTGTAAAGATTTGGATAACCGCTTTTGAAATAAAATTAGTTGTCACGAAGCTCATTGAACAGACTTGTAATGCTCGTGTAAAAAATATCGGGCGTCAAAGACAAAGGCGTTGAGCGTCATCAGGTCTAGAATGCAACGAAGGTGGAAAACTCACGGTCGCTTGGACGAACGCGAGGTCCACTGTGCGACGGCCTTTCCCTAGGCGTGTTGTTTCGGGGAGTCTGCGAGTTCTGTATGTTACGCTTCATGCCACGCTGCCGACGTCGACGACTGCGGCTGCCGAAGGGCCGCCACTTGCACTTCTTCTTGCCGTTGCCGAAGAGTCCGAGCAGCCATGCCTGGTCGCCACCGCATTCGAGCATGTGTCGATGCAACTCGGCCAGACTGGCGCAACTTTTGTTGCACTTGGTGCAGATCCGTTCGCTCGGCTGCTGGCTGCGAGTTTTCATGCTCGGCGTCGGGCTGCTGCAACGCACACCCGGCAGAAAGACCAGGTGCTTGTACAGCTCTCGTTGATCGCCCGAGAACTCGAAGTGCATACACCAGACGTTCGGATGAGCAGCCGATTTGTGATCCTCCAGCTCCTTCAGCGTCGTCTGTGCGTAAATGGTTTGTCGACATTTTAACAATAAATAATCTGAAAGTTTCGTTTTCAACGAGCTCATCGTAACACATCGACCGAGTATAGACTGAATCGTTGACGTGACGCTTGACGCGAAGAATACGTGACGTTAATTATTGTTTTAATCTCCTTATCGACTAATAAAAGAATGAATTCTCGGTTCCGCGTACTCCTCATCGGTGGCGATATCGTAGCTTTTTCAAAAAGTATATGTACTACTGATACTCACGTATCTGTCGGCGCAAGCACCGCATATGTAGATCCTTGGCCTGGCCCACTCGCCGGTAAGCTCAGCGTAAGCGATCTGCGTTTGGTTGTGGTCGGCACTGGGATCGTTGCCGAGTTTTCTCAGCTTGAGAAAGCTCTCGAACTCGTTGGTGAACACAGTCGGCGTCGTCTGCTCGCCACCCGCGCACTCGCCACTCACTTGCTGCTCGTCCGCACCACTCGCGACCGCGAGCCGCTCACTATCACCGGCCGCGACATCGTCCCGCTGATGCTGCTGCTCCGACAGTACCGTCAGCACGTCGAGTTGTACTTGCTCGCTGTCCTTGAGGGAGCGCTGCTTCTTGCGCAGTGTCAGTTGGGTCGATATGTCGAATCGACTCAGGTCCTTGATGGCGCAGCTCCACTGCTCCTTACCGTCGTACTTCCTCGGGAAGTTGTACTTCTCGAACGATACCCTGCGTGGATGCGCGCGACTGTTGCTGCTGCTGCCGCTGCTACTGTTGTTGTTGCTACTGCTGCTGCTGCTGCTGCTGCTGCTGCTGCTGCTGCTGCTACTACTGCTACTACTGCTGCTGCTGCTGCTGCTGCTGCTGCTGCTGCTGCTGCTGCTGCTGCTGCTGCTGCTGCTGCTGCTGCTACTACTACTGCTGCTGATGCTGCTGCTGCTGCTGCTGCTGCTGCTCGTGCCCGGCTTGTCCGCGAGTTCGCCCGAACTATCGGTCCGCTCGGCCAGCGTAGCCACTACCTCGGCCGACGTGGACGAGGGCGCCGTCGACGGCGCGTACACGGGCGTGATCGCTGTCAGCGAGATGTCGATCGGTAGCTGCTGGTACTGCGGCGTCTTGCCGCTGCTGCTCTCCGGTGCCTCGGGCTGCAACTTGCCGTCGAGGTGATGCAGCAGGTTCTCCCTGATGTTGCAGCTGACGTTGCTGTAAAAGTTGCTGTCGAATTCCGGCGGCACTGGCGGGGCCGACTGCAGCTCCTCCTTGACCAGCACGGGCTGCGGATGGCTCTCGCGATTGTGCGTGGCGAGCGCATCTTGGCTGAGGTATCTGGTGGAGCACTGCAGGCAGCCGTGGTACCTGTCGCTGTGGCTACCCACCAGGTGCCGGAACAGCCCCTCCAGGTTGTCCGAGCACCTGTCCACGCAGTACTGGCAGCTCTGCTGGCCGGGCTTGCGGCTGGCCATGGTGCCGTTGCGCTCGGACCGACGCCCGCCGACCGGGGCCTGATGCACGCGCTCCGTGTGGCGCTGGCGCAGCGAGATCGAGGCGAACTTGCGGTCGCAGTAGAGGCACAGGTGGCGCACCGGCTTGCTGGCTTCCGGGCCGGCCGGCGGCGGCGCCGACTGCAGCACCGAGGCCACCTTGTCCAGAGGCAGACTGCAGTGCAGGCCCTGCGTCGCCTCGGCCTCCTGCACGCTCGTCAGCAGCTCGTCGAGCAGCTCCCGGCAGACCGTCCGCAGCGAGCCCTCGCCGTCGGTGGGCGACTGCTGGGGGCGGTGCTGCTGCTGCTGCTGCTGGTCGCTGAGTCGCTCGAGGATGATGTCGCCGAGGGACCTCGGCGACAACGAGCTGTCCTCCTTGGCCGTCGCGGGCTGACCGTCCGCCTTGGCCACGTGCGCGAGATCGCGCTCGCTGGGCGGCAGAGCCGCCGCCTGGTCGGGCTTCGCCTCGCCCTCGTCGTCCCCCGGCGCGAGCTTGGCCGACTGCCGCTGCTCCTCGCCGCTGCTGTTCTTCTGCTCGACCACGCTGCTCAGCACCGTCATCACGTAGCTTTCCAGTGTCTCGAGGTCGCGTCCACCGCCGGCGGCGCTGTTCGCACCGAGCGCGCTCTCCGACTTGCCGGCGCTGCTGCTGCTCGTGGTGCTGGCTTCCGGAGCGGCCGGTACTTTCTTCAGCAGGTTGTTGATGACGTTGCTGAGTCGGCTGCGTTTGTCCTGAGCCGACTTGCCATGGGACGGGAAGTGCGACTGGTGCGGCTGATGGGGCGGGTGGTGCTGATGGTGGCCGTGATGGTAGTGGTGGGGATGGTGCAGGAGACGTTGGCTGGCGCTGGCTACCGGACTGCTGGCGCCCAGGTCATCGGGACTGTGCGTCGAGGCCACCATTTTCGAGGCGCCGAAGACTGCTGCCGCGCTGCTCAATTCCGTGGCCTTCCTCACGGCTACGTCCGCTTCTGCAACGGTAAACAGCCGTGTCAGCGAGCCCGTCGCAGCTGTCGGCGCGGACGCGACGCCCAGCGCTTCGCGGGCAACGCACGCCCGAGGCAATCCTGGCAGCGCCCGGATCGTCGCCCGGATTGCCCGGATTTTCGCCTAGGTGAAACGTCGCGTGCCGTAGGTTGGCGCAGTTAGAGCGGAAATAGTCGGCGACAATAAATTCCCGGCTAGCTCTGCCGCGCCTCGCCGAGAGAGCTACTCGGAAAGCGAATATGAGGCAGGGAAGGGGGGAGCGAAGATATAGACACACGGATTACAGTCGGAGAGCGATGATCGAACAGTAGTCACACGGAAGTCTGAGCCGCTGCAATATTTATTTATAGCTGCGCAGGCTATAGCCGCACAATTCGACAAGAGAGAGAAAGACTCTCGATGTGGATATTATACCGGAATAGATGAAGTCGAGGGTGAATACGAGAGCGCGCGTGCGCTTTGTCTGTTATACTCTCTTTGGAATATATTAAATCCTATACTTGCCATATACGGCTCAGCGAATGTTTGCACTTTGAATACATTTCACATTGCTAGACTTATTACTATACAAGAACTCTTCTCGCTAAGCAGTTTACGTACTCAAAATTCCCGATTCAATTCATTCAGTTTGTTCGGTGATCGATCAAGTTCGGTTTGACGTAAGGGATCGATTCTGCTATTAACTAAATGAATTAAGCCACGTTTTTTCATACGACTGCAAATCTCACGTACGCACAGTAAATGTAAAATTATTTGTCAGATGTTTGTCGACTCGAGAATAGCAGACGATGCCAACGACGAATTATTTTTTTTTTGTTCGCCTGCCGAGCTTCAGAATTAACCTCAATGACTAGCTTACGATCGATTGAAGCAATAAGAGAACAAGAGAAATGTGTCAGACCTTTGAGCCCGTGCAATACTTGTATTTTGTAGCGGCATACAAAATTGACATCAAGTGAACATAACGCAGTTTCAAAGGAAGAAAACGAGCTCGAATTAGCCTTTGAAGATTCAAAATCAGCATCGCAATCCGATAAAAAACAACGTCGAAATTGTTATTCAGAGGCGAGGAACAAAAAAAGGGCGGAGACGGAAAGCACTAGAGGCGGGTGAAAAAAAGAGGGCGAGTCACACATACGTACACACGTAGAGGCTTGGGTTGGGTGTAAAAAGGATCGAGGGCAGGCAGGCAGGCAGGACGCGCGCGCGCGAGAAAGAGAGAGAGAATGAGAGAAGACGGAGTGGCCTTATTACGGGTCGGTAAGCCCGTGGGGAGGAGGGATGCTTCGTCGCAAATACGTTACGTGCCCTCTGACACGGTGAGCGCGTTATCTGTTATCGCGCGCGTGCAGAGTGCGACTTTGCAGCGCGGCACGCACACAGCTATTGGTTATGCAGGCCGCGGCGCGCAGGCCAAGCTGGAAAAGTGCTGCACACGAGGCGCGGGCCCAAGCCATAGGAGGGCCAGGGCGCTCTCGGCCGCCAGCGATCGATGCGTAGCGCGCGCCCCTCTCTCCGGTCGGTCGTTCCAGTGCGCCAGGCTCGGCTGGCGATTTCCTAACAAGCGCGTACAAGGATGCGTGCATTTTTCCGCGCGTCCGGCATTTAACGACCTCCAATTAAAAAGCCGCGAGCGAGCATGCAAACGAAACGAGCGCATCAATAAACATGATGACTTGGAATCGGGTTAGGTGTCTTTAAGTGCTTGTCAGTGCTTTTAAGCGCCGCTCTCTCGCTCGCCCATTAATTCTATCCTTTGAAAGCCATCGCGAGTTTTGGCTTTACGACTGCTCTACATTTTTTCTTCTTCTCTTTTTAGCGTTTGCCACTCCGCAGAGATTGTAAGCAGAAGTAACGCGCTCCCGCGATCGTTCAATTACACCGGGATGCGATGCGTTCGAAGGAACTCGTTGACGGGAACGGTGAGCTGCCTTGCTGTGCGCCTATTAAAATGCTTCGAGCAAGCGCACTCGACGGCGCGTCGATGTCAACGAGAAGCGACGTTCATCAGCTGAATATCAAGTCATGCGGGCGTCGGGCGGCGACCATTCAAAAATAAAGTTCGAGCAATTTGAAAATAGAGCGGACAACTGACGCGCGGCAGCAGTTCGTCTTCGATATATAACTTAGACAGAGCAAAAGCCGAGCTTGAGCATCGCGCTGCATTTTCGCGCAGAGCTCAGTCCTAAAATGACGTATAAATTCTGCGCCGAGCTCGAAACTTGGCGAGTATAATGCGGTCTGCTCGGACGAGAGGGGCGGACGGAGGAAGGGGAGGAAAACAAAAGACCAAAGTCGAAAAGCATCGCGGGCAACTTTAAAGGGGCGTATCTCAAAGTTGCGACTTTAATATCAGATCCCGCTGCAACAGCGGCGCAGAGCTGTCGCAGCTTGCGGAAGTACGATGCTGTCGGCCGAGAGCTAAAAAAGGCGCAATTGTCAAGAGAGAGAGAGAGAGAGAGAGAGAAAGAGAGAAAAGAAGACTGGACTCTAGCCGTTGCTGCAGCAGTAGCAGCAAAGAGCTTGGGAACAAGTTAATCCTTATTACCCGATTAACCCAGTCTGTCGCGCGCGCGCGCGTCGACGACGTAGAGAGAGAGAGAGAGAGAGAGAGAGAGAGAGAGAGTAAACAGCGTCGGTGGCAGGAAGCGTGTGTGCGTGTGCGTGCGTACGCAATGTCCCCTTTGAGCCGCGTTTCGCGCTTGCGCGAGAGATAAAAAGCTCTGGCCTGCGCGGGCGATCTCTCTGCTGCTCGGTGCGGGAACCAAGGCGAAACGAAGAACGACGGCGCCGGAATTGAGAAGTCACCGCGCGCCAAAGTCGAGAAGAGGCGCTGGGAAGGCTCGTGCGAGCTCGAGTAGCTCGTCGCGTGCGAGAGAGAAGAGAGAGAGAGAGAGAGAGACCTGTTACGCGGAAAAAAGCTCAAGACAGATTTCAATAAAGTTGGGCTTGGAAGGACGCCGCGCTCCACGCGAGCGTCGAGCAAACGACGCTCGTTCCTTGGCGGCGGTCGTCACGTCCGTTCGTAATGGCGTCGTTAAGGCCGTCCCGAGCCCAGCGGTCAGTCGCAAAACGGGCCCGATCTCGAGCGAGCGCGCCGGCAGCAATCGACAGCAGAGCTCGGCCGACTCTCGCGTCGCCGCGTATTCGGGCGCCGGCGAGGGACGTCAGCGACCGGACTGCCGGATGACATTCGCAGCAGGGCCAGTTCCACGGAACGAAGAGCGATAGGCTGTACGTGTCGGCGACTACGGCCATCGGTATAGCGGAGTACAACGGGGAGAGACAGAGAGAGAGAGAGAGAGAGAGAGAGAGAGAGAGAGAGAGAGAGAGAGAGAGAGAGAGAGAGAGAGGAGAGAGAGAGAGAGAGAGAGAGAGAGAGAGAGAGAGAGAGAGAGAGAGAGAGAGCTTGCGATGCGCTGCGATCGCAGCCGCGCGTGCTCGCGACAGTAACGGCTACATTGCAAATTGGTCGCGCGCGGCAATCGACCGGGATAAGCTCAGTAGGTCGCCCCTTCGAGCAGGCAGCAGCAGGGGCGACGGGTTCGCTGTTGAAGCGATTTTCCGAGTAGCTGCGCGGCTAATTAGACCGAGTGTGCGGGCGCGCGGGCTGTCTAATCGCAAAGTCATCGCTCGCCCGTCGGCGGCGCGCATCAATTCAGTTTCCTGGAATGAATGGATAACCATTTCCGTGGGTCTCTTCGCGCTCAGCTGCAGATTGGCACGCGGCTGGCCGACGTGAGCGACGCCGAGGTGGCAGGGAGGGGGCTGACGAGAGGCGCAAAAACAAGAGGAGCCGCGCACATGGAAATTCAACGAGGCGAGAAAGACGAGGTCGTTGGCGAGAGAGCGAGAGAGAGAGAGACCGGCAGACAGGAAATTTGTCGTGCCTGTCTGCTCTCTTTAGCAGCCTCCAGCGGCGAAAGTGAAGAAGAAGAAAACGAGGCGACAGAAGAGAGGAGAGAGAGAGAGAGAGACAGCAGCCGAGTCCTTTTATCCGGAAGTACAGCGGCGGCGAGAGAGGGCGGTAACGAGAGTGGCAGCAGGGAGGAGGGGCAGTTGAGCTGGGAATCGATAACCACCCCTGCGGCGCCAAAGGGCTTCGTACCCAGCCAGCCAGCCAGCCAGCCGGAGACACGCGCGCGCACGCAAAGACACAGAGAGCCGGGCAGATTTACACGCCGGCTGAAATACCCCAGGGCTCGCATTTTCTCCGCGGAGCCCGCAAAAAACCATGACAAACTGCGCGCCTACGGCGATTACGCTTGCTCGCCTGATTGTTGCACTGTTTGCACACCTGCGCCTTTTCGCGACGACGCCGACGATGCCAACTTGACTCCGTTATGAAGTACCGCATTGAATGCCAGCGCGCTGTCCAAATTCGCTGCTGATATACGCCAGTTTTGCCGTAGATTAT